AGAACACAATACGTCGAGGAATGGCGACAGAAATGAGAAGAATGAACAACAATTGGATAGAAGTGAAAATGAAGGTGGAGGACAGAGTGTGTAGGAGAATGCTGGTCGGTGGCCTATGCTCCATTGGGATGAACAGGCGTAAGTAAGTAATTAAATAATATTTTATGTGAGTTAATATAAATATTTTAAATTTTATAATTTATTTTCAATGAGTACCAATTACACTACTTAATATTTTTTTAATAGACTAGAATAAACGAAAACAGATGTCAAAATCAATTTGCACATCCCACGAACGGGATCGTGGATACGCACTGCTAAGGTGTCCCACATTAGGACGAAACGATCATTCAGTGCTTCCAGGTTTTCAATTGTGGTGGTCTAACATCAATCGTTTCATGATCTCAATCAAAAACTTAACAATCATCACAACCCCTAAACTGAAAATAATAATAATAATAATAATAACAATAATAATAATAATAATTACAGCATGTAACCCAATAGTAACAAAACAGAAACCTTTTCATTCAAATAATAAAATTATGTGCAATTATTTCACAAACGGACAAACACATCAGAAGAAAAAACGAATCACTATTGTTGTCATTATTCTTTTTTTTTAATAGAAAAAAAAGAAACTTATGTACACATATGTTTATATATATAAATTGAGTAACTATGTATTGCAAAAAGAGCAAAAAAAAATAATACGACAATTAAAATGGATAGATATAGAAACAGACAGATAAGAAGGGGGGGAGAGAATGGGTTGGGGTGGGTTTTAACTAAAGTGGACGCATAAACATTAAGATTTTACACACTATTGTTTATGAATGAAATAAACAAAGAAAAAGGAAAGAAATGCACTTTTTTCCCAATAAAAAATAAATAGAAAAAAATTCGAGTGTTTTTTCACCCACCCCACCCCCCCCCCAAAAAAGAGAAAAAGAATTTGGATAAACTAAAGTTGAAACCAATTTCTATATATATGGAACTTTTATGAAATAGATAAATAAAAATAAAATTAGTAATAATAATGAATGATGTACGCACGTATGTGTGTATGTGTAAGTAGATGAGTGAGTACGAGTGAGTGAGTGACGACGACAACAACAACGGCGGCGGTAATGACGAAGTGAGAATGATAATAAGAAGTGATTCTATTTTAAATTTTATCAAGTAAAAGAAAAGACAATAATTAAAAGAAAAACAGAATGTTATTAGAAGCAAGAGGAGGGAATGACTTATAGATTAAGAGAAATAATGAGAATTTGAAAATACAAAGAAAAAAAAACAGACAACAGATAATATTAACAATTGTAGATTGTTATTAATTATCTCTCCGTATATGAAATTGAATGAATCTATGAAGGAAGACAAACAAAAAACAAACACTAATAATGAAGCATGTTGATAACATTCTTTTTCTTGACCAACAACAGAGATAAACGGAATAGTAATGAAAATGAACAGATATTATACTTACAAACATTAGGTATGAGATATGAGATATAACAATATTTGATGAAAATATAGTTTATACTGATTATAATTAAAATAGTAGTTACTAGATGATTGTATGAACTTTAGGATGTAATAATGTTAGAGGTTAAATTTCTTTGAAAGTTAAATGATAAGTCTTGTTAATTGAACACTAGTAACCTCCAGACTAGAACTACACAGCGACTTGAATACGAAAGGTTCATTTTTTGTACAGAAAATCTGAGGTTTTTATAATGTTTTAGATGTCCATGGGTTTCCCGAAAATCATCGAATCAGAAACCCGACATGTGACTTCACTTTCTTGATGTTTCTGGCAAAAGTTCTAGTGAACGTAGATTGGATAGGATGCTTCTCAGTATTTACAGAGTCTTTCTTAGTTTTTTTTTCGAGGAGTTTTCTGGATCTGCCCAACAAGTAAAAGCTATCAAGACTTAGTTAACATCAAATGGCTTAAAATTGATATAAGACAATATAGAGGACTATGATATACGACTTTTTTTAAAGTAACTCGACCATAGTATTTAAAATTAAGGAGCGTGCAACCCTACAGAACATGTTGTAACTTTATTGTTGAACAATAACTTAACTGTAATCTGAAATAGTAACGATAAAATTACGATATTAAAATAAACTCTGAACAATATTAATCCTATACAATTAATTCATATGCCTAATCCTAACCGTAGATCCAAACATTAATCAGCTTTACTTTATCAAAATCATTTCAAGAGTCGCTAAGGGAATTGTTCTGATGCTGTGTAAAGGAGGGATGGCAATGAATGTTATCCAAATTTCAGAACAATAGACTCGATTTCGTACGAATCGATTATGTACCGACTAAATCACAACAATACGGATCGCTGTTCAACAGTCATTTGAATGGAACTCGGCACTATTCATCAACTTCCTTCACTATGAGAAAGCACCTGACACTGCTGATAACAGAACCTTGTGGAACCATCTTCAATACTATGGAATACCTGAGAAGATTATCAACACATGTGGATAAACTTTAATTGACTCATCAATTCTTATGACGGACTACTCTGAAAAGTCGTGTATGGAGGACAGCTCACAGATGCATTCCAAGTGACGACTGGTGTCAGACAACGTTGCTTACTCTCACCGTCCCTCTTTCTCCTGGTGGCGGTCTACTAGATCATGAAAACCTCCACATCTCATGGGAAGCACGGAATACAATACACGGATCATTCGAAACTAGACGATTCGGAATTGGCTGATCACCTAGCTTTCCTAACCCCTATACACCAACGAATCTAAGTGAAAATAGTCAGTGTAGCAGCAGCAGTCTCTGCAGCAGTAGGCTACAATATACATAGTGAAAGACCAATACCCTCAAGTACAACACAGGGAACACCACCTCAATCTCACTTCATGGAGAAGCTGTGGAACAGGTGGAAACTCTCACATATCTGAGCATCATCATCGATGAACAAGGAGGACGTGATGCATATATAAAGGCAAGGATTGACAAAGTAAGGGCAGTATTTCTACAGTTGGAGAACATATGAAACTCAAAATAACTATCAGTCAACACCAAAGTTAGAATCTTCAATATAAACGTCAAGATAGTTCTATCGAAGAACTACCACAACCATTATGAAGGAAGTACAAGTATTTATAAACAACTGTTTACGCAAGATACTCAATGTCCGTTGACTGGATACCATCAACAACAATCTAACATGGGAGAGATCTAACCAGCTTCCATCTGAAGAGGAAATTAAGAAAACACGCTGGAGGTGGATAGGACATAGATTGTGTAAGTCATCAGACTGCATCACGAGGTAAGCGCTAATTTAAAATCCTGATGGGAAACAGAAAGGCCAAAGAACACAATGTGTCGAGAATTAGAAGGAAGCATCAAAAGCATGAATGGTAATTAGAAAGGATGTGCTCAGGACAGAGTTGGATGCAGAATGCTGGTGATCGGCCTATGCTCCTCCACGAGTGGTGGTGAGAAGTAAGTAACAAAGTAATTCTAAGACTGTGAAGCTAGGTGATGAAGGAACATATCACACAATGAACTTATGTCTCTTTATCATACTAGGTATACCATGTTGATGAATGTCAATTAGAACGAAACCGAAGTCATATAGGTTGACCTATCGACAAACGGCCAACTACTACACAAAAACAATGTACACGATGCCAAAATCACTTAATCGATAGAATTAAATCTACATGAATGATCAGACAAATATGTTATTGATTACTATTGTGCTATCAAACAATGTAAAATTACAATATTTAATCGAGACATTTCAGGTTTTTATCATTTTTTTAATAGCTCTATACTTCTATTTAAATTAATAGTAGTAATGGCATGATAAGTACAGTAAAATTATGTTCCATATTTTTATAATAAAACAACAACAACAATACAGAATGGTAATATATCAAAAGTGAATGGGGTTTTTTGTTTTCAAGTCAAATATACAATATAACAAGTAGTAAACATGAAAATCTTTTTTTATTTAGGGGAGGGGGGACAGGAAGGTAACACGATGGTGTTACATACAATTTACTCATGCATAAATGGATTTTCAACAGTTTAATAGAGTTAGAATTATGTTAACTTTAATATGATCATAATGTAGAGAGTTAAAAGTTCATGATCATATAAATATTTATATGATTGTTATATTATGTACTACTTTAGATTTATATTACTATGAATGATTCATCACAGAATCAACTAAATACAATAGTTATTTGTGAGTACATCAAATAAATATAAATCAGTCAGCTACAACATATAACCAGGTATATATATGCATCGGTCCAAGTTGCCATAACTCACTCTTTAACACAACAAGATGAAAGATTTTATGTAAGGATATAGTACAGGAAGAAAGAATTAGTTGGTAGAAAGAAAGATATAAAGCGATTTTAATCTGTCTAAGAGAAGACAAAGAGTAGTCTGCAACTACCAACATGACTCATACTAGGAGTTAGTGACTTCAATGACTGTTGCCACGTTTTGGTTTGGTCGCCCCTAACTTTCTTCCAACCATCCCCAACACTAGTTGCGCGTCGTGGTAATCAGTGTTCAGGCGTATGCAACACGTGGCCCAACCATCTCAGTCGATGAAGATTCACAACCTCATCAACTGATTTACCATCATTCTAACCTCACTATTACCTACCCGGTGATCCCAGCAAACTCCAACAATATTTCTAATACATCTGTGGTCAAATACTAGTAGCTTACGAGTGTCTTCTACTCTTAGAGGCCATGTTTCGCCGCCGTAAATTAAAACAGAGTGGACTGCCGCGCAGTATACTCGTCTTTTTATTGATAGATGGATATCTCGCCTTCGGCATAGGTGACGTAAGTTGGCAAAAGTCAAATGAGCCTTTAGAAACCGTGATAAACATAAATAGTATTATTAAGTAAACAGATAAAGATTAGCAAATTTTCTATTTTATAAACATACACACTTACTGAGTAGTAAACAAATTATCATTTGTTATTGATGAAGAAATGAACGTTTTTGTAAAAAATCTTTGGAGAATTGTGATATACGCTTTGATCGTCCCAATGAATTTTCAATAAATTCTAGTATCTACAAAAAAAAATAATAATATAAAATCCATAACCAATATTCACTTGGAAGATAAATTAATCTCGAAGATATTCATTCATCTAAATTCTGATATTCATTTAGCTAATAGTTTACTTTGAGATGTGTTCCTGAAATCTTATTGAAAAATCATGGGGTTAGTGGAGTTCAGACGTGTTTGGAATAAAACACTCGTGATCAATGGTATTAGATGATGATCGCAAGTATCCACTACAAAATAGAACTCTAATCTTCAATGATATCCCAAGTAAGATCAATCTGTGACGAATATTACACATATACTATGGAAGAGAGATTTTCCCTCCGAAGAAAAAACGTCCCAACTCATAGGGATATAACAGAAGTTAGTATTTATTTGTTTAATAAACTAGAGATTAGTTTTTAGATGAAGTTATGAGGATTTCTATCCTTGACATAACTTGGAAGTAATTTTCCTTACGAAATTACACCATTCCTGGAGACTCACTGGAAATCAGAGAGCACTAGACAATCAATTCGTTATCGTTGACGACGACGCAGCTCATAATGATTGTTTACATTGAACTGATTTAAGTAATTCCAGATGTCATGACACGTTGTGTTTGAGTAATACTCCAACGTTACTTAGTTACCGAAACCAAAAATATATGCAATGTAGTCCGGACCTGCAGCTAGAGGTGTTATATCCCGGTGAAGATTAAATTACAGGTAACTCCCGAGCACTATTAATGGACTAATATTCTATAAATATTCTTATTGTAAAACTATTGAATAATTAGATTATGTATATTTATATTCCTCTTATTATAAGCTTTATTTTGACCTATATTTTATTATTGTACGATTTACGATTCCTAAGCTATGCTCAGTCTATTAATTACTGTCCCCCTCGTTCACAGCCACTTTTTGGCTTATTTGTGTACACATGTTATTTTCTATTTTATGGTACGTTGTGGTCTGTCTGATTGATATATAAACCCAGTATGTCTGAAATAAACGATTCGATTCGATTCATATTCCAGAAGCTGGTATTGTGTTCTGGACTCAAGTGGAAGGGCTAGGAGGACATAGGACCAATCAGGACGCTAAACTGCTCATACCGGTTGAACGTCATTGGCTTGGCATAGTGCGAAGATTGTATAGATCTTATTCTGATTGCTTGAAAAGTCGCGTGATAGAAAAGCCAGACATCAAGGTCATAACAAGAGGGTTATAACCAAAAGAGTGCCTGTATGATCAGAAAAAAAGTTGAGTGAAGTTTATCAATTGAGGTGAAGATTTGTAGCTCAGGTGGATGATTTTGGTGAACTTTTGTTCTATGAGCTAGATGGTTTGACCAATAAAGATCGAGACCTACAAGACAAGCTGTGAGTCATACGTGTAGGAATTCGAATACTTCATTTCAATTGAATTTTGTGCTGATATTGTTCAGAAGAACGATGAAAGGTACACGACCAAACTATCCAGCTCAATGAAGAAAACTCCATCCGAGTTTATCAACCTTGATCGTCCCTCCTACTTTTAATTCACCCTCATTTGATTTCATAAGAGTTTATAACATTATATTACTTACTAATATTGAGTAGCATATACTATTATGAATCATTTCTGAGCTCCATTAATGTGACATGCCACATAATACAGTAATTTCATATTCTCTTGACGTTCTTAACACTCATCCATACTTTCTGTATGTTCAATAAACATATAATTGTTAGTAAGAAATTTCACATCTTATGTCTATAGTTCTCGTTTTGATATATTGGCTGTGATTGTTTAAATCATTTTAGATTTCATCCGTGACTTAAATAGTTAGTCTTAATTCTTGAAAGGATTCAGTACATCACAACAATTGCCGTTACTGGTTACCGACAAACATTAATCTAGGTCAACTAAATAACCAACGAAGCAGGTGGTTTTCTTAGGAGACACACCTGGAGCCTTCGACCTAAAGGTCTCATCCACAAGGCAGTGGAGCAATGTCAGGAGATGCAATCACATGGTAGCCGGTGACCATACGCCATTTGTTCCATTAAGATCCTGGAGCCCATGTGCACCATTGGTTTGGAATGAGGATTTTCTAACTCCCCTAGGTGGATCACCCGTGTCTACCAACCCGGTTAAAGTTCCGGACATTCGCATTTAGTCGTCTCAATTTCGTAAACAACACCCCCGCCACCAGAAGGTAGTAAGCAGGACTCCCATGTCAGTGGTTGTATATGTGTGGCCATGTGAGAGCATTTCGAGAGGGAGAGCTGACTCTCCTCACTCTCGGCTATACCGAGTTAAATGTATATGCACTAGTAACCGATAAGAATATTCAATTGAATTGAGTTTTTACAAAGTCTCTTTTGTGAAGTGTCAGATATCCTACTGCTTTGTAGATACTCTTGATTAGACGTCTTCTTACTGACAGAGGGGAAGAATAATTTTACATTTTAAAGTGTAATGAACCGACTTTGAACGACATCATTCATGATAATATTTCCTAAATTCATAATTTTCAGAATTCAATAGTTTCATACAACTCATTAATTAAGCATAAATTTGTGTATTTGCACTCAAACCATAATACGGGCTAGTTAAGTAACCCTACCGAATCTTTAAATCAAAATAAGTGGAATGAAGCTTGGATTTGTGATTCAGGGGATCTAAAATTCAATCCCTAACTAAACCAAACAGATAACTAATATATGTGTTATTATCTCGGTGGGAAGCTTGACACATAATTAAGTAGAGCGAAAGGTGTGACAAACACTTACTTCATCTGTAGCTTGTAGTTCACATAATAAATCCACTAAAGTAGGCAAATCAACTCCAGACAAAGGAATGGAAGACAGTTGAGATTCACACCAATGGGCAAGTTCTTCTTTAGCAGGAAATAAAGAAACTTCACGATTTTTCTACATAAAGATGAAATCATTTAATGGGTTAGTGAATGATAAGTCAAAAAGTAAAAAGATCGCTAGCATTAGTACAGTAGGAAGTGATTAAATTGAAGAATAAAGAAAAAATAACTCGTTCAACTGATCTATTTATACGGAATATTTTACTGGCTACTGTTCACAAGGTAGTAGTCAATCGGGTTAGTATAATACAACCATCATCATTTAGACAGTTTATATGGTGCTATACAGTGAGTGAAGTACGGGTGAATGATTTGTCAAAAAAACCCGTACAAATGTATTTCGTTTGTTTATGTTATTGACTCTGTTATACGGTAAAAGATACAAATATCACATTACACGTTAGCTCTAACACCCTCTACCCAGTTCAATATTGGAACACCTCAAATAAGTGAAATAATTCAGTGTTGACGAAGTAAGTCAGATGATACAAAGAATTTGAAACCGGAATAAATTTCCCAAACAGTAATAATTCCCATCATGGAGTTCAACTGGAAATCCATCATCAGTTAAATTGAACAATTGTATGTCATTTCAATCTTATATTAATGTAGAGTTTAATTGTTGATAAGCATTATGATTTGAACTGGTTTAATCAGAATATGAATGGTAACTGAGTTTTTACAGTCTGTCTTTTATTGACTATGTGTTTAAAACTCATTCACATGTAACAATAACTGAGAATTGATTTAAGGTAATATTAGGTGTACACACAAAACAAAGTATGCAACCATATAGAACAACAAAGACAGAAAACCATTGTGAGACATTAGTGTGTTTATCTGTATATACTGTTGGTTATGAAAAATGTGAAATTTGTAATATGAATTACAATTGTTGAAATCATGGGTCAACTGAAGCTGGACCACCGTGGAAAACCTGGAAGCACTGGATGGCCGTTTCGTCCTAGTATGAGACTCCTCAGCAGTGTGCATCCACAGTCCCTCCCCCGCAACTTCGTGGATTGGTTGAAGTTAGACATTAACACCGTTGGATGCAGGCCAGCCAGCTCAGTGGTTTACTTGGTGAAGCGCCTGACGCGAGACTGACAGATCCTGGGTTCGAATCCCGCGGGGTGCGGGATTGTGCATGCGCACTGCTGAGGAGTCCTATGCTGGGATGAGACGGCCGTCCAGTGCTTCCAGGTTTCCCACGGTGGTCTAGCTTCACAATTGACTCATGATTCCAACCTGTGAAATTTCTAAAAATCTCCACAAAACCCATTCTGATAATAATATAAATTACGAATAGAATTGAAATTCGTGTATGTGTATATATATGTATGTATTAATTATGTGAGAAGGGAGAACAGAGATGAATGAAGTTGCTTGAAGAGACGGTTTAAATTAGATGAATAGTCAGATCTTTTCGGTTAAAAGTGGAAAGAGTTAGCACTTTATAAAAACACCTCATCTATTTATTTTTCTTTATGGTTGGAAAAACCTCTTCGAATTACTTTGACATCTTTAATGTAGAACTGATGGTTACTGAATATAGCTATAAGTTGTTATTCTCTATTTAATTTATAAATCTTCTAGTTCTTTCGATAGGATTGCTAGGAGGTCTTTTGGTAAAACTAGAATTTATGGACGACATTTGAGCAACGCTACAATGAACTTGAAAACGTCAACGTACTAACTAAGACTGAATGAGGGTTATAAAGCAATGTGAGGAATTCGAAATGTGATTTACAGTTGATGGTTAGCGTTAGGAACTAGATTTAGAGTTTTCATCACGAACCGACATAAGCTAGAATGCTGAAATAGCATTTCGCCGAATGAGTGAATGAATTTCGCACTAAAATCCGAAACATGTTATCTAAAATCTGATTGGTTCATCCATAAATTATAATCTCACCGGTCTCTTTGTGCAGCTTAAAAGTATACATGAGTACGAGTCAAAATTCCATGAAGAAACTCTCCAATAAAGTATAACAGTCGAAACAACCTAATCTATCAGCACAATCCTATGTATCTATCTGTGATATTTCATTCGCACTGGTATTAAGAGATAAAGAGTTTCATGTTCAAATTTTTATGTGGTCTGAGGTGTTTATGAATTTAGAGAATTTTCTAAGGAGACTATTTATAATGGTGACAAATGTGTCACCTACATATCTCAACTACATGCGTGATCTGATGCCACTGAGAAGAATAAGCGACTCAAAATGGAACATAAATGAATTAGCAACAATCGGAGACACTGAAGATTCCATGGCTACTCCATTCGTTTGTTTATATAAAATTTCTTCGAAGGTGAGTTCACAAGTAAACCGTCCATAAAATCTCTTACTTACTTACACCTGTTAATCCCAGTGGAGCATAGGCCACCGACCAGCATTCTCCAACATTCTGTCCTCGGCATTCCTTTCAAGTTCTATCCAATTGTTGTTCATTCTTTGCATATCTGTCGCCATTTCTCGACGTAATGTGTTCTTTGGTCTTCCTCTCCTCCTTTGGCCTTGAAGATTTCAAGTGACGGTTTGCCTTGTGATGCAGTTGGGTGCTTTCCTCGACGTGCGTTCCATCCACTTGCAGCGCTTCTTTCTGATTTCTTTCTCCACTGGAATCTGGTTTCTCCTTTCACACACTAGGTTGTTACTGATAGTGTCTGACCAACGGATCCGAAGTATTTTGTGTAGACAACTGCTAATAAACACTTGTATGTTCTGGATGATGGTTTTGGTAATTCTCCAAGTTTCCACCCTATACAGTAGAACTGTTTTGACATTTGTATTGAAAATTGTGACTTTGGTGTTAGTTGACAGACAGTTGTTTCGAATTCCAGATGTTCTTCAATTGTTGATATGCTGCTCTTACCTTGCCGATCCACACCTTCACATCTGCATCAGATCCACCATGTTCATCAATCATGTTGCTCAGATATGTAAAGGTCTTTGCATCCTTCAAGGCTTCTCTGTCAAGTGTGATTCGATTGGTTCATGTTGTGTTGTATTGGAGAATCTTGCTTTTCCCTTTGTGTATGTTGAGACCTACTTCTGATGAGGCTACTGCTACATTGGTCGTGTTCTCTTGCATTTGTTGTTGTGTGTGTGTGATAGAAGAGCCAGGTCATGTGCGAAGTCTAGATCGTCCAGGTGCATCCGAGCTGTCCAGTGTATCCCATGCTTCCCCCAGATGTTGACGTCTTCATGATTCAGTTGATCACCAAGAGAAAGAGAAAGGGTGAGAGTAAGCAACCTTGCTTGACACAGGTCTTTACTTTGAACGAGTCTGTTAGCTGTCCTTTCATAAAATTTCACCATCTATCAATAGTAATATTTAAGTATAAAGATGCAACATTCATAGGTTACCATTGTTTCGCTTTTTGACAGATAATTCTCAAATCTTCGGCTTCAAATCATGAGTCTTTAATGACATTATCTAAATATTTAAGCAGTATACTGAAAACATTTCAACATAACCTATATAAAGGACATGTTAGAGTGTTTGTAAAATCTACTATGGGTCATAACGGTCTATCAACTTGTTAATCCATGTAAAAGGCTATATAAAGTAAGCACTGATTATGTTGTTTACAATGACAATGATAGATCAACACTTAGGCAATCTAGATTGGACAAACTCAACAACACGAATAGCATTATATATAGTTTGTTGTAGTGTATAATACATGACTTACTTTTTTCTTTTTGAATTGCTTTTTTTCCCAGTTGTATTGTTAGTATTATCTAGATTATTTGTTACAGGTAGATCCCATATTGAAGGTATATTTGCTGTTGTTGTAGTCACTGACTTAACAATTGTATTATTCACTTTCGGTGTACATGAGACAGATGTGGAAGTAGCAGCAGAAGTTATATTGTTATTTAGGGATATTTTTGGTGATGAAGTGATTTTTAAATAATCCAACTGTGTTAAAGATGAAGTATTATTACTATTCGATGAATAACTAATGGATTTCTGTATTGGACCATTATTATTACTACTAGATGATATAGCAACAGTCTAGAACAAAAGAAACATTATTGATGAATAATATAAACTAAGTGAATGTATAGGTTTAGTGGAAAATTAAACAGAAAAAAAAAGAGAAAATTGACTAACAAACAACATTCAATGTAAAAGATCCCCTTTTAGTTAACTTCTACAGCTGATTATATTTCATCATTAAGATAAATTACATCGAGTGTTACGTGAATAGTTAGTTATAACTGTAGTGAGAGTAGAAAAAGTTTCACAATTAAGTGGACTATAGAAAAAAAAAAGTCTGGACTTCATGAGATGTTAAAGGCTGAGTAATAATATGAATATAGTAACAATGAGGTATGTTGTGACTTAAGATAAGTAATACATCGCCCAATAAAGATTCTGATTATCGACCAGTTCACTTATATCGTCAGTAGGATAGATGATGTTTTTTTTTAGAATCAACTAAGACATCGACCGATGAACAACAACCAAAAACTTTAGTTTATTGGTATTCGAGTTCCTTCTAACTGAGTGGTCAACTATCAGAAGATGCAGATAGGTAACAGATTATTTCTCTATTCCACTCTAATTGAGATGGTCAATCACCACACACAAAACCGAATAATAAATCATACTTTAAACACAATCATACCATAAGTGGAAGACGGCAGAGCAAACAGTACATAACTAATTGGCAATAACTGCCCCCAGACGCCCTGGTACGGCCGAGAGTGGGGAGAGTCAGCTCTCCCACTCGAAATGGTCTCATATGGCCATGTGCATATAACCACTGTCAGGGAAGTCCTACTCACTGCCTTCTCGTGGTATTAGTCTTGTTTACGAAATTTAGAGGACGAAAAGCGAATCTACGGCGCTCTAACAGGGTTGGTAGATATGGAGAATCCACCTAGGGAAGTTGGAAAACCCTGATTCCAAACCAATGGTGCACATGGGTTCCATGATCCTTAGGGAAAAAAATCGCATATGTACCAATTATTGGTCACCGGCTACCATGGAAGTGAATCTCATTACGTTATTATTATTATTATTATTATTTATTATTATCATCAGCTTTATTCAATACTATATTTTTTGTACAATATAGAATTTTCAGCGTAAAGTATTTCAACAAGTTTCCGTTTCTTTTTTCTTGGTCGGTCCTAGCGATAAAGATCGAGTGATCGCCAGTTAGATGTTAGCAATTCACTAAATGAACAACTGAATAATGTGCATTCTTTTCGCTGTATATTGCCAGCAACCACATTGTCTCTTATTGAGTTTTTTGTAACTTTGACAACGAAAGGTTATACACTTTTCAGAAAGGCAGCGGAATAGGTCATGCGATTAATAAACATAATGATATATTAAAACAAACAACAATAGATAACTTGTTAAAATATCTAGATGGCAGAAACAAGTAGCCCAGATGCTCAAGCAGGCCACCTTTGCTCCACTGCCTTGTAGATCAAACCTTTAGGTCGAAGGCTCCAGGTGTACCCCCTAAGAAAACCACCTGCTTCGGTCTGGGCACCCGGGCAGTACCACGGCCCACACAAATCAAGTGACTTGTGTGGTTTATATGTATTCGGTGCCAATATTTGTGTTCAAATAAAAATAAATAAATATTATGAACACAGTTTATGAGATGTAAATACAAAGAATTCTCCATTTTGGCAAATGGTATATAATAAATTAGAAACCAAGAAAAATAAAGGATAATTTAAGACTTACACATTTAGAACGTTCAGTTGTTTTATCATTCTTTGATATACATGGATTTATAGGTGTTAAAGATGTCGTATCCGATTTAGCGATTTGAGACCATGAAAGTGGAGTTTTTGTTGATGGAGAAACTGCTTCAGCTGCTATCAACACAGCAACTTGTTCAGACATTAATGCATCATGATATTTTCTTTTAGCCTTATAAACAACAGATAAACGTGGATGTCATGAAAGGTGTAAGATAAGTTTGAACAACTTCAAAATGAGATAACACTTAGTCAATAGATAAATGCATAAGTTAAATTAAGAATTTATGATCGTAAAGTGACAAATTCCTGAAAAGATACACACATTATTTATATGATTTTGAAGTTATCAAAGGTAATAAGTGCAAACTTTAGGTCAATGTATAGTTGCTCTGAAAATTCGTTTATAAGTATACAGGTCTGTTATATATATATATATACATTAACATGTTAGAAGAGAGCTTTTAGCCTAATGTATTAAGATTTTTTTCGTTGTGTACTAACTCATAAGGTCAACATCACGATGTACTACCGTTCAGGCCAAAGCACGCTTTTCAACTCTGTGATCATAACACTTTTATAAGAAAACTAAGTAATATATAACAACAGACAAATCACAAAAGCAAATGGTATAGGGATGTCCAAAATATATGTTCTTTCGACTGAACAGATTAAAAAAACTATTTTGACCGAACAAATGAAGATCAGGAAAGAGTAGAAAAAAAAACACAACAATATTTGAAATATCGTTTTTCAAACCAGAATGACCAATGATACATGATAATATATGTAACTACCTTCACAACAGGATATTTCGATCCGTGTTGTGTTTGAACCTAAAGTTAACACAGTTCTGATGGAATGCAAGAAAATTTAGAAGAGGTTATTATTCAATATTCGTGAAGAACTCATTCACTTCACAGGAATAGAAAAAAAAACAAAAGTCGAATATATATACAACAGAATTATCTGCATATTCAACACACGTATTTTAATGATGAAAGAAGAAAATTCATATAGTATGTTATATCATATGAAAGATGAATTGTAGACTACATTGACTTTGTTTTTACTCCTCTAAAAAATAATAATGTGAATATGATGAACGTAAAAGTTTTATTACTACTATTTAGTCAGTCAGCTACAATGTAGTACTAGGCACATTAATGCATCGATCCAAGTTGCCACACCTCACTTATTAACACAACAAGATAAACACCAAATTCATAAAAGTAGTTAATTCAATGGTAGTAATATATATAAAAGAAAGATTGTATGTAAGAACATAGTACAGAAATGAAGAATTACTTAGTACTATTATTGATAACCATAGTTTTTAGTATTGAAATTATTTTAATTTCAATAGTTGAGATGGAAGCTAGACTATCATGGAAAACCTCAAAGCACTGGATGACAGTTTCATCCTATTGTGCGACCCCCTTCAGCAGTGCACATCCATAATCCCGCCTCATGATTTAATTTTATAAATCAAATAGATTTCATCAACAAATTTCTTGGATGGAAATAGTTAGAATGTCCAATCGTCAATTTCATGAGTGAGGCAGTCTTAGAATAATGATTTATTTTAAAAGAAAAATAACCATTTCTGTTATATCTCAACGAGAATTATAAATGGTAACTTTTGAGAACTATTTATGGACCAATACATTGCATATATTTCTATTGTATAATTGCTAAGTAGCTAAACTATACATATTCATATTCCTCTTATTATAAGCTTTATTTTGACTTATAGACTATTATTATACGCATAGTTCTGGTTTAAGCTCCTGGATGGTAAGAGCTTCGGCTATTTTTAAGAGTTGGATACGAAGAAATCTGGGTAGATTTGAACGAATCATATAAACAACCTTAAAATCAATTTGTGGATCTGTAGAATGGTTATAGTCGATTAGGTGTTCCAGTATAGAACTCCTAACTGCTTTCCTTTCACCTTTATAGAACCAAGCTGGGATATGTTCCCGTATCCGAGTTGAAAGCGAGCGCTGGCTACGGCCAATGTACCTTATTATACGATTTACTGTTTTTGAGTTATGCCCAGCTTATTAATTACAGTCTTCAACATTCACAGCCACTTTTGGCTAGATCTTGTACAAATGTTGTTTCCTATTTTATGGTATGATGTAGTCTGTTTGGTTGGTGGTATATAAACCCAGTATGTTTGAAATACATGATACATATCACGGAGGCTAAGATTGGTGTTCTGGATTCTAACAGGCAGGGTTAGGCTGAAAGAAGAACCGATAAGGACTCGAAACTACTCGTACGCTTCTATGCGTCATTGTACCGATTGATGAGTCACTGTTCTCTACTAATTGGCGGTATCATTACGTTATACATTGGATAGGGTACAAGACCATAAGTTATAACAATTTCTATTTCATCTACCAGAAATAAGAAAAATGATAATAAACACTTGATGTATTATAAACAACAAGTATTGAAAGAAAGTATAAACAATTAAATCGGTTTTAAGTGATCGGCTAATTTCATGTATCGAATTTATACACATCAAATTTATCAACTGCTTATCTAAACCATATATATGAAGAGGTATGTAGACCTAAAGTAAGTCAATCTAATTGAGTAAATCTAATTCATAATGTATCTTCTTTTGAAATTTTGAACTTAACATCATCTCAACATTATACACCCATTCTTTTACATATAAATAGTTATCATGTTTAGTATTTCATTCCATGATTGTCTTATGTCAACACTTTTGCTTATCATCTTGTGCTAGATATGATATATGATAACTTTCAACGATATAGTTTTTTTGTGTAAGGCTATACTTTGTGTATAACTCACTGTTTGATTGAAGATGCATAAATTAATTAAACATAGATTCTTAACACTATTTGGTTGCTATCCATGTACCAATAAATTTTGCAAATTTTTTGAAAAAAAAACCCATTCCATTTTCATTATATTAGGTAATCTACGAGTTTTGATGAAGGCATTAAGCTAGGGTAGAAGTATCGTTAATAATCTATAGATAACAACTATTGTGGCATATGCTACTTATGCTGACAAATATTAGTAGTATGTAGCTTTAATCAGAAGTAGAGTGACTACCAGCAGAATATTGAGAAGATTGATTGAAGAAAACAGGAAGAGAAACAGAAAGCAATTGTAATAACAACAATGTAAAGGACAACTGAAGGAAGATATACAAATAATGTATGGTTTCCCTTAACTGAGTTCTCGTTCACTATATTACGAGTTTTATTTATACCGTGTAGAGAAAATAGAAAAAACAAGTCATAAAAGTCTACAACACATTAATTATTATGATGTAAAAATAAAATTCGAAGTAAGATGGTGTTTGAAGGTAGTCAACAGGAAACCTTGAACTTCAGTTTCGTGTTATTTGGCACTCGTCAGCAAGGTGCACCTGCAATCTTGTGGAAACTGATGATCCATGACGGATTCCGTCTCGTGTCAACCAGCTTCATAGTCAGAAACGTTACCACTGAGCTAACCGGGCTGTGACTGACCTCCTGTAAGACTGAGATTTATTTACAATTGATTGATCACTGGTTGGTCCACGCACCACCATCGCATAGTACATACAATGTCGAGTCACCTAGACTAGTGGCCACATTGCAACTTGGTCGATAGGATTTGATCTGCACTAAGAAGGACCTGACATACATAAAAATGATTACTACCCAGTGATCAATCAATTGGAAATTTGAAGTGTTTGTTGACAACACAACCAAATAATTTTGGTGTTACAATTCTAAGATAATGAAGAAACATATTCAGGACGCACAGACATCAATCTACCGGATGAGAACTGTGTAAAATATTTTCAAAATAATTTATTACTTCTAATCATATCAAATAAACGCACCAATCTGTAATCAATAGAGTAATTAGAAGACGGAGTTGATCTGAAAATGTGATATAATTGCGATATACATTAGGAACAATCTGGTCACATATATACACTTGTCAGGGCATTTTTATATGAAGAGATTGTTCTCTAGTTGCTCTATCGAAATTTATAAAAGGGACTAATTGCTTCAAATCTATAATCAATCTAGTATAGATTTATATCAGATGGGGTTTATGTGGATATTATAGTAACTTTAATAGCTGAGATCATCAGTCAATTGAAGCTAGATCACCATGGAAAACCCGGATGGCTATTTTGTCCTGTTGTGAGACTCCTCAATAATGCGGATCCACGATTCCGCCCCAGGACCTGTCGGTCTCGCGCGCGAACGCTTAACCACTAGACCACTGAGTCGGCCGGGATCCAACAATGTTAATGTCTAACATCAACTAATCCACGAAATTGAGCGACACATCCACCATTATCTTCTGTGAACTACTATCTCACAACAGACTCGGTTGAACTCCCACTGGTCACTGCTTCTTACTAGAACTCCAGGAAAAACCATTTGAAGCCAGTCACTAGTGTGCATATCTTGTTTAATATCAGAAAGGGTTTATTTGGATATTATAGTGCTAAGGAGTCCCAAACTAGGACGACATGGCCTTCCAATGCTTCCAGGTTTTTCATGGTGGTCTAGCTTCAATTGACACATGAATTCAACTATTAAAATTCTCTTTGTTTAGCCAATAATAGTCATAAAAAAAGTAGTTCGATGAAATAGATATGATCAAGTAAGGGCAGTAAGAATATTCAATTGGAATGGTATAGACTACATTCATTATTGATTGATTGATTGACCTTGTTTATCCTGTTTAAACATGATAATTAATGTAGAAACAGAACAAAAAGAAGAAAAGGGATTGAACAAAGATATTTCAGGTCTACACTATTTACCACCTTGACCTTTTTTTTTACAAAACAATAATAATCATATGATATTTACATTAAAAAAAACAACATGGTAACACTATAATTAAAACCCATTATCCTTGAGTAATCGACACTAAGTAACCATTTAAAATGAAAGTAATTCTTTTTAATGTTTAACAAAATGATGAACATACCTTTATAAAAGGTATTATTTTACATGATATCAATGGTTAAATATTGTAGAAAATATGATGTAGTTATGAATGTAATGAACTATATTGGTAATGCATTGTTTACTTGAATTTTCCCATTAATGTTTAAGATTGACATTAATCAATCTCTTATTGGCACATGTGCATATTGCCTCGACGTTATCTTAATTCACAAGCATTATAAGCAAAGATGGATAGTAGCTAGTAGTGGAATCCAGGATGAGCATTTCGTCCTTGTTTATAATGCTTATGAATTAAGGCAATATACAGGCAATCCGTACAGGATGCATATATGCCAATAAGAGACTGATCAATTGTAATCATAAACATGAATGGGAAGATTCAAGTAAACAATGCAAAATGAATTTAAACTTCACTACATTGCACAAACTAGTGGCTATCAAGAGTTAAGAGCCAAGTGGATAATGTGATGGCGTTTGAAGCGAACAGTACTGGGTTCGAGCATTAGAGTAAACAATGATTCTGAGATACAGGTACATCCATCCAGCTGACGAGCCCCAAATAGGACGAAACGCGCGTCCTAGATTCCACTGCTAGCCACTATCCATCATTGCTTATATTATGATGATTATTATTATTTCGTCAAATAAAATCAATTGTTATTTTTATCCTCACTAATTTTGGAATAGAAAATATATATCAGAAAGGAGGGTTTTATTTAGCATGTTTTAACGGATATTAGAAGTTGATCATGTTAACCGTATTTTATAATACTAATAAATTAACTCATTCGCTAGGTATTTAAGTATGAGACACATTTTATTGTGTAACGGCTAGTGATACTACTCGGTTGCTGAAACTGAAGTAGGTGGAGCGGAGTTCAAACTCCAAACTGACTGAAAGGTGAACACCTTGATCACTTAGACACCACTCCACAGTATTTCGTTGACTTATTATTGCGTGCCAACACACATTTGGTTATGTATAACCATGTGAAAGTGTAAACGTAGATTTTGGAAGTTAATATTTACACGAGCACATAAAGATTCAAAATGATTGGTGGCATGAAGTTGTAAGAATGAGCGTTTGTTACTTAGGTCTATTTTCACATTAAGCAGAAAAAAACTGACAGGTAATCTACAGATCATGTAGTGTAACTATATAGAGCGTACTGTCCTGTCTATTCTAGTCCATGATCTTACATAAAAATAACTGTATACATGTATTTTTACACCTCAGGATCACTTTAGTTGGACAACCATAGAAAACGGGCAAGCATTGTACAGTTATTTCATCCTAGTATGGGACTACTCAGTAATTAGTTCACAATCCCATCAGGGACCGGACCCAAGACCTTTGCGCCTCAAGCTGACCACCCAATTCGAAGATCACTATTTATTAGTATCTAACAGTTCACATTTCGAACTTCAGTCAATTTACGATACTGGACGTATACCATCTATTGTGATTGGTGATATTTTATTGACGTCCGATTCCACTGGTCGCTGCTTTTAAGTAGAACTAGTCCCATACTATGACGAGATAGATGGTCAACGTTTCCTCGTTTTGAATGGTAACCCAGATGAAATTAATCTGTGACCCCTTCAATAAGCAATTTTTTCTTAAAGTCTATCATTGAGTGAGTCACAGCCGTTCAATTGGTAACTGTAAAAATATACAAGATGCCCTTAAGATAAATAAGAAGGTCGAAGTACAGTAATCCATATATGTTTGGTTTTCAATGATGTTGTTATGTACAGAACCAATCGTTGAGTGGTATACGTTTTTCTCAATAGGTATTCGGATATATTGCTATTGGATAAAGATGTCATCAGTCAGAACGGTTAGACAAGTTCTTTGTGTGGTGACTTCGAAAAAGACTATTTAACCTAATGTAACTTGCAAAGTTAATAGGGTAGTCAAGAAATTCAAACACTTCATATTCTAATGCCAAATGATATAACAGATGAATTCATTCACCAGGTACTTGGGTATGAGGCACTGATGATACTACCTGTTAACTCAAAACGAAGTAGGGGCACGAGGTTCGAACCTAGAACTCAGTGGTCGAAAGTCGGACGCCTTAAGGGAAAGAATTCATACATTAAATTAGAAGAAATATCATGGATTTTGAAAATCATTAAAACACACTGCGTTTAAACGTATGTGCATGTGGTTACGTTGTTCTTCTAAAAAAAGATGAGCTATTGGTTTACAACTACAAATTAACGAGGTAATAAAACTATAACCTAATACTCACCTCTTCAGCGGCTTGAGAAGCTTGAATAGAACGTAAATCTATTGGAGCAGTCCTGTTGTGATATTTGTATTACTAGTAGCAGCCGCCGCCCATCGTGCGGATTCAGGCAACTTTAACTGAGCCAATTCACTATCTGCTTTCAGACGTGATATTTCACGTTTACGCTGTTCAACAAGAAGGCGATTTTTCTCTTGTACAGCTAAAGCTTTTTCTGCAGCTATAGCAATTGCCTCTTCTTCGGCCAATTTTTTTAGTCTTGCTTCTTCAGCTAATGATTGTTCTAATGCGGCAGCTTTACGACGATTGAATTCTGACTCCCAAGCTAATTGACGTACTTCGTCTGGTGTTAATCTATATATGGTTAAATATGATATTATGTAATTCTGGCAACTCCTTTCTTTCAGTATAAAAATATAGGCAAAGTAACTCAGTATTTAAAATGATTAGATGTATTTGACTGGAAACCCTGGACCTAAGCCACATGTTAGTTGACACACGTCATTACGTTGTATCTAGAATCTTGTAAGAAATGATTCCTGTAGGATTAAAACCCGTTTCACACAGCTGCACAGTCTGAGATATGACTGAGATTCACATCCAGTAGGAAGGAGATATTCACAATCGACTGATCAATGGTGCGACTAATGTTACGATTATCTAATCCTTTAGTGCTGACCGAATTCTGTTGATCAGGTTGCAATGTCACCACTAGCCTAAGTAACTAAACATTCCGTCCAATATGCTAAGATGTTAGGTCGTTTGGGGTAGTCAGCATGAAGCCTTGTTCACTGTTAGCTGGCACTCGTCATTCGACAAATTCATGGATCACTTCTACTCATTTGACCAACTGATTGTAGTTTGTGTACTTGGATATCACAGAAACGCACTAGAGATATTATATAATAGACTAAAACAGATGAAGTAGCACTTGGATCTACAAACCAATAGTTATAGATAAATACCATAAACCTATTTAATCACAAGTTTACTTAAAACCATGAAGTTTATGAGCGCCATTCAATAGAAGTTTGCGCACGTTTCATCACATATGCGACCGAATCCGTAACATTCAGGGTCCGTATATTAGCAAAATGAGTAATATTTTATGAGCATAAAGCTTGCCATTTCACAAGTATGAACTTTGATCTGATGAGAAATTACATATGTATCGGCCATCGGTTACCATGGGACTGCATCTCCTTACGATACTCCACTGCTTTGTGGATCAGACCTTTGGGTCGAAGGCTCCGGGTGTGGCCCCCTAAGAAAACCACCTGCTTCGTTCTGGGAAGTCGGGCAGTATCACAGCCCTCACACAAATCAAATGAGATTTGTGTGGCCCATATGCATTTGGTACCCTCTTGTACCAATATCTATGTGTTAAAATAAATAAATAAATGATGCATGGGTTAGGAATCATTGGGGGAATAGTATCAGTTCAGTTGAACAGTAATTTTCGTTATGTTTACGCACTCATGGCTAGAGAAGTCTGTCGACCTATTTGGCATAGGGCTTGAAGATTGTTTATTTATTTATTATTTAAACACATAAATATTGGTACAAAGGGGCATCGAATACATATACACCACACAAGTCACTTGACTCATGTGAGGGCCGGGATACTGCCCGGACGCCCAGACCGAGACAGGTGGTTTTCTTATGGGACCACATCCGGAGTCTTCGACCCAAAAGTCTGATCCACAAGGCAGTGAGGCAACGTCGGGAGATCCCCCGTATCCACCAACCCGGTTAGAGCGCCGGATATTCGCTTTTCGTATTCTCGATTTCGTAAACAACGCCCCCGCCACGAGAAGGCAGTGAGTAGGACTTCCCAGGCAGTGGTTGAATACGCGTGGCCATGTGGAAGCAGACTCGCCCCAACCTCGTCCGTACCAAGGCATTCGGGGGATTGAAAGTTAAGAGACTAGTTTCAGATGTACAGGAAAAAAACTCATGGATTCAAATTGCTAGCACCGGTGGTGCACGGGAAAAAAAGTTAGTCAGTGGTCATCAACATAAACTGACTAGCAATAGAGACTAATGAATTGCAGTTTTAAATTACAAATGCTTACTGATACCTTTATACTGGTTGAACAAGTTAGTGGATTCGGTAGCTCAGTGGGTAATGTATCGGTGTTTGAAGTGAAAGGTACTGAGTTTGAGTCCTGTTATAGACATAAATACAGGGATATACCGGGTACATCCAGTGCACATGTTTCAAATTAGACGAAACGTTCGCATACTGCCAGCCGAATAAAATGTTGAGTGAAATAATATGAGGATAAGAATCCGATTATTCAGGATGGAATTTATTTGATTGTTCAAATACATCGGGATATATAATATAAGAAACAGACAGTCTGGAACACAAAATATAACAAGTCGAATAGCTAAAAACTGCAATTTCATTACCAAATAGAGGGATTTGACTCAACAGTATGATGTGTTTTATTTTATGTATGAAGGTTTAAGAGTTGACAGAATAGATTCACTGCACATTGTCAAGGATACATCATACAGATAAGTTTGACTGTCGACATTACTTCTATCTGAAAATCTCACATTACTCATTTAGAGAATAAAATTGGTCGCTTATAAGTTTGTTTAGTATTCAATACCAACTAAATTATAAGTTACAGATTTGTATATTTAGCTTTGAGTCTAAGTACAAAGTCTAAAGGATGATACTACTCTTGATTGCCCAAACTGAAGTAGATAGTACAAGATTTGAACTTGTGAACTTGTGACAAAGCAGTGGAGCATCGTAAGGAGATGCAGTCCCATGGTAACCGATGGCCGATAATAGGTTCATCCGCCATTTGTTCCTTCAGTGTACTGGAGCCCATATGCATCATTGGTTTGGAATGAGGGTTTTCCAACTCTCCTATGTGGATCCTCTGTATCCACAAACCCAGTTAAAGCGCTGGTCATTCGCTTTTCATAGCTACTGACTAACTGAGTCACCGATGCATTGAGGATAAACAAATGAAAACATTCAATATTATTCTTAGTTTATAATAAAAACAATTATTCTCACTTTTTATTAGCTTTCTTATTTTTACGTCTAGATTTCTTCGTAGTTGTTGATGTTTCTTGTTCATGATTATTACTATTTGAAGTCAATGGTACGGTAATTTCACCTTCAGGGATTAGTTTTTCTATTGATTCAAGTTGTTGATACTTTTTATCATTATCATTATCATCGTCATCATCATCAACAACAACATTGTTGTTACCGACATATGCATCATTATTCGTATGTTGACTAGTATGATTGCGTTCATGATTGTTCATTGTTGAATCTAAAGGAAGCTCATTATCAATATCTACATCATTTGTATTTAATTTTCTATCTATAAAAATTTGTTTATCATTCGTTGAATGAATTTCATTATGATGAATATTATCAAATGTTGTTAGTGTAGATAATGATTCAGTAAATTCTATTCCTAAAGATGATAATGTTGAGAATTTTGTCAATGAAACAACATTTATGCTATTACTATAATCATTGAGAATGGCTGAGCTAACGTCATTATCAGTTTTGATATTATTATTATCATCATTATCATTACCATCATCGGGATGACCATCGTCAATAGTATTGGAGAAGGTAGTAGTAAGTGTAGTATTTTTATTATCATCACTAATACATGGTTCTAGGATACGTGCTAATTCAGTTTGTACAGCATTTGTTGTTCGAATTAATGATTCAGTTAATGTAGAACTTAATTGGGTTGGACGTAAATTGGATAATAATTTAGCTGTAGTACTATTAATTTCAGCTAATTTATTTGCTAATATTAAACGTTCTGCTTCAATTTTAGATGTATGTAATGCAATATTTTTAGCTTCATTATATAAATCTAATAATGCTTTATCATTGATTCCAGTAAATGAAGATGAATTATTGATTGTTTGTGATTCTGAATAATCAGTTACAGGAGATGATATAGTGTTTGATGATAGTGTTGACATATTCAACGATATTGAATCATTATCGATTGTTACCTGAGTTTTATCACCATCAGAAACACTAACATCTCCTTTGTTTTGAAGCTAAAAATTAAAGTGTAGAAAAATTATAGTGAATTTCACCTAAACAATAAAGATATATTTGCTCAGATCATATTGTCAATTAACTAATCATGAACAAAAATCATCGATAAATAATTTAACAACCTTGCTAAAGGAAAAAAAATGCTAACCAGGATAAATAATTTAAACTTCAAGGAAGAATTATAACGCCTCACTCGGAGACTTCGACCTGAAGGTCTGACCTACGAGGAAGTGGAGCAACGTAACGAGATTCAGTTCCATGGTAGCCGATGACCAATAATTGGTTAATATGCAGTTTTTCCTTCAGGATCATGGAACCCATTTATTTATTTATTTATTTGAACACATAAATATTGGTACAAGAGAGCGCCAATATATATGCGCCACACAAAACAATGAGAATTCGAAGAGAAATAGAAAAAAAAAGAAACTAAGGAGCGCAAAAGAAAAAGGGAACAATAACGAAGAGATTGGTGTAAGGTAGTGTGGTAGTAACGAGGGAACGGAAAGGTACAATCAGAAGAAATCTTTCAGGTAAGGGAGACACAACCACTTTTTATGAAGAAAGTAAAAGAAGGTTACAGCAGGATCGCCACTGGCTTCTATTCTGAGCCATATCTGATAACGTCTCTAGCCACTGTGTAGCACCATCTCTCAGACCCCAACCAGGGAGTCCTGAAGGACCAACAGAAGCCAGTCCTTTGCAGCTTTCTTTCATACCACGACACCATGTCATGCACTGACCACCTCTCCGCTTCTTCCAACCAGTCCCAGAGTCGGAAAATAATGCACGACGTGGAATTCTCTGGGACGACATTCGTAGAACATGTCCAAGCCACCGAAGTCGGTGTTTCAAGATGGTGACACCAATTGCATTATCATCTCTGTGCCCGAACACACGATGCCGAACCTCTGCATTACTGACATGGTGTTGCCACTGAATGTCAGCAATCCTTCGGAGACAGCGATGATCGAACACAGAGAGTCGTCTAACGTCCTCATCTCTGTGCCCGAACACACATGGAACCCATGTGCACCATTGATTTGGAATAAGGGTTTTCCAACTTCCCTAGGTGGATTCTCCATATCTACCAACCCTGTTAGAGCGCCGTAGATTCTCTTTTTGTCCTCTAAATTTCGTAAACAAGACTAATACCACGAGAAGGCAATGAGTAGGACTTCCCTGACAGTGGTTGTATGCACATGGCCATGTGAGACCATTTCAAGTGGGAGAGATGACTCTCCCCACTCTCGGCCGTACCAGGGCATTCGGGGACTTAGAATGATATCAGTGATACACGTTAATAAATTGTCACTCAGAAATAATAATTAACTAACTAAATATACTACATGTCAACGTAGTGATAGTACTATGTAATAGTATTTACCTGAGTTGTATCTTCATCAAATGTTGGTAGTGTGGATTGTTGAAGTGAAGTTACGCAATCTGTTTTACGATTTGTAATACCTGGTGGAGTTGAGGAGGATATTTGGTTGGTGATAATAGTTGAGTGTGTTAATACCTGATTACTACTATTATTATTGTTTAATACAGAAAGTGATGGTAAATTCGCATGTGTAATAGGTGGTTGATTGTAGCCAGTCCAAAATGGAATGCGTCCAGCTAAATTCATATGATCAGCTTTAAATAAAAAGAAGAAATGAGTGAAATAAGACCATTGAGAAGCATGAAACTGTGCAGAAATACAATTGTATTTTATAGAAAATTAACAAACAAATATAGAGTCAATGTAGGTAATGCATACAATATGAGCGAGAGCTACCTATATTGATCTATATATACACACATATAGATGAAATGTAGCTCAAAGCAACACACACACACAGAGGAGATTCAGGAAGACAGTAAATAAAGATCTATTTCCCATTAAAACCCATCAGGTCATGTGAAATAATCTCAATACATGTATTATGGTTTTAGATATAACTACTATCCATCATATTGATAAAACAACTTATTTGTAGGTTCATGTATATGTACAAAAGTATTAATTAATGTCGATCATTCTTCAAGTACAGACTAATGAATCCAGCTTTGACGAAGCACAAACATTGTTAGCAGTTGAAATCGACACACAGGTGAAGTGGGATAACAATCATAAAGTCAATGAATGAAAGTATTATTCACCAGAGAAGAAGTATATTATAGAATGAACTAATTCGTAAGACTACTCAAAACACTTTGTGAATGTATTATGTAATATTTTTGAGTAAATTCCATTAGGTGATTTGATTGCTGACAAGATTAACGTGAACACTGGAACTTTGGGTTATAATGTAGAAAATATATTTAAAAGAAACGGATTCCACAAGCATAAATTCATGTTGAAAAAGACAAACTGACTAAATGATTTATAGGATACGGATTTATATGACCTATCTTAAGTAATAACAGTAGTGGTTAAGAGCATAATAACTCGAAATGATACACATTCTTTCTTTCTATTCCGACCTAATCATGTAGAAGACAATGTATTTAGGGAAAATATCTATTCGAATAATGAAACAAGGACCAGTCATTACCTGTCACCAGGTCAGGTATCGTTCTAAACAATTGCATTGTATGATATTATCATACCATCGCATTCTACTCAAGAATCCCTAAACAGTGAAGAGATTTTCATCCAATAGTTATTTTACATTACTAGCAACTTATACTTTTCAAAATCGGCGAATCATAAGTGCTATGGAAACCAGCGGGATAACATGCGTAAATCATGATTAAGACAATGAATGTGGTGTTTCCACATTGTGATACTCCTTGGACTATTTCTAAGCATGCATTATTGTACCCCGGTATTTGTAAAAAGGTGTTGGGACCTGCCTGATGTGAGTGATCCTGTGGAAACAAAAGAAGGTAGCCATATAGCGACACTTTAGTAATCATGTCAAGGTCGATGTACTGGTCGGTGTTGTCTTTCACTATCTCAGGTTGAATAAATGAAAACTCGTGATGGAGTGATGGTGTCACACTGCTGAATCACGGATTAATACAAAATGAGTGAAGGAACAGTGATAAATTTATACTGAATAGGATCTGCTCACAGAGAATTCCTGGGATTCATCATGATATCATAAAACCTAGATTTAAATACAATAGGAGTGAAATTTTTTGTTGATTTGACCATCAGTGGAAAGATCATGGGATGGACACGGTTTTGTACGTTTTCTCAAAAATATTCATCTGTGATTGTGTTGTATCTATAGTGTTTAAAGCATAGTGTTATATGAGCTGAATCAAATGGTTGAGATGATGTGATTTCCTAAATAGTTAAAGATATTCAAGTCAGTCAGCGAAGAATGAAATTAGACTTTCAAAAGAATGAGTGACAGCTTATTGCACGCCTATGTGATTCTGGACAAACTTAGATTACTGACAGATTTTGACTACTGAGCCATTTTTAATATAGGAAATAGTGACCTTCACGATATATACATCTTATAACCATGTCCTCAGGATTCGACACTGTATGTCATATGTGCACTTGTGTATGTGTGACGTGCATTAATTATTTGATTCAACCCCTATCTATTTGTTGCACTTTGTATTATTTATTTTGAGTCATATTAACGTTTGTAATGAGTAACATTTTGGGTAAACACTTCTGGCATCTCCCTGGTCCGAGATACTTTTTCATTCAACGTTTTATATACACATTGTTATCATTGGAATTTGTTCATAGAACACATACGACTGTGATTAGGATTAATATTTCGTTTATATTATTAATTATTTAATCAGCATAATGGAGTCAATGGGCGCTAAAAATGTATTAAGCAATATCAATACCCTTAAATCTTACGGATTACAGGATCATCGTAACCAATTTATTTCAAACTCCAAATCGCTTAAACAATATACTTTAAACAGTATAGAAAGAATACAGTCACGGATAAATAAACGAAGAGGAAACATTACTATTCCCTTTAATGATCATAACACGGATGTCCAGATTTTCTTCAAAGATTAAATATCCACTGTGATCAAAATTAGATCCTAAAATTTCATGATGACAAATAAGACTTCTCTGTAAGCGGCTGCTATCTGGTGTGAATTTGTTGATAGACACAAAAAATATTGACACAATTACCTCATAGGTACGAATCATACACACACAAGCTCAATAGCTATATCTCTGAACTATCGTGATTATAATTTATTACCCCCAAATGCCTTGATACGACCGAGAGTGAAGAGAATCAGCTCTCTCTCTCAAAATGCTTTCACATGCCCACGAGTATACAGCCACTACCAGGGAAGTCCTACTCACTGCTTTCTTACGACATCAATGTTGTTTACGAAATTTAGAGGACGAAAAGCAACTGTCCGGCGCTTTAATCCGGTTGGTGGATATGGAGAATCCATCTAGGGAAGTTGGAAAACTCTCATTCTAAACCAATCGTGCACATGGGTTCCATGATCCTAAGGGAAAAAATCGCGTATGAACCAATTATTGGTCACCGGCTACCATGGAACTGAATCTCTTTACGTTGCTCCACTGCCTTGTAGATCAGACCTTCAGGTCGAAGTCTCCGAGTGTGGCTCTCTAAGAAAACCACCCGCTTCGGTCTAGGAAATTGGACAGTATCACAGCCCACACACAAATCAAGTGACTTGTGTAGCGCATATATATTCAATGCCCTTTAGTACCAATATTTATGTGTTCAAATAAATAAGTAAAAATGAAATATTGAATTTCGAAATCTCAATAATACAAATATTGATTTCTGGAAAATACATAGATAGTACTACGAACTTGACTGATGAATGTCAAGATGAAGTGAATATTCCAGACCAGAAATTGAACAATGTACTTCAGAATCAATAGTAGTAGAACATGGTATTAACTTTATGAATCAACTTTTTGAGAAAGTATAAATTTTATTTTTGATACTGTAAATACAGTGTAATGTAACTATGAATAATAGTTAATAGGGAAGAAATTTAATTTCACCAACGAGACTTATGTAAATTGTATAATCACTTACCTAAACTAAGAAAACATTCATCACAATCACGACGTATTTTTAAAGCTAATGGTAAATAACCACCAACAAGCCATGTACTCATTTGTTGATTTGTAAATGGACCTTGAGTACATGTAAATAGATCAATATAATACCAATTACAAGGATGTATAATAGATTGTTTAGAATTCATTTGTGTAGAATTCTTCGAAGAATCATCATCCACAAGATGACAATGATGAATAGGCATTGAATCATTATTATCAATAAAAACGTCTTCTTTTTGACAAGTTATTGAAGATGATGACTCACTGGTAGGCTTATCATGAATTGGTAAGTCGAAACCAGGAGGTGGGTCACTACAAAACGATTTGGAGTAAATCCTCCCATTTTTGGTTTGTTGCTTAGTAAAACAAAATGCAAAAGAGAAAGAAACGGATATTATTTTCTATATATTGTCTTTCAAGAATAAATGTAGGATTTATAAACTTAACAATGTTCCACTAGAAGTAAGTTGAGGAGAAATGAAAATAGTTGTCAAGGAAAATCTCTTTAAAGTTTTAAAATGTTAAGACCTATAAACTGGTTAAATAGAAAGTCAGTCACGACTCTTACCACATTTAACTGTTATCAGGATTATTTTATTTATTTAAACACATAAACATTGGTACAAAGATATGCGCCACATAAATCATCCGATTTATGTGAGTGCTGGGATACTGTTCGGGTGTCCAAATCGAAGCAGGTAGTCTCCTTAGGGGGCCACACCCCAAGCCTTCGACCTATAGGTTTAATCCACGAGGCAATGGAGCAGCATTAGGAGATGCAGTCCCACGGCAACCGGGGACCAACAATAGGTTCATCCGCCATTTGTTCCTTAAGGACATTGGAGCCCATGTGCACCATTGGTTTGGAACCAGGGTTATCCAACTTCCCTAGGTGGATTTTCCATATTCACCATATATATTGAAATGTATTACGTGTTGGTAAGAGATGTTTTAGGAACAAGACTGACCATAAACAAATATGAATGACAGATAAATACTGTTTAAAGCAAGTTATATATATTTTGGCTATAAAGGGGGAATGTTGTTGAGAATGCATTGGGATTTTAATCATTTGATGCCTGTAAACTTAGTTTTCAATCACTTATTAGCCGTTCCACTCCTCTTAGAGTCATAGTGTGTCAGATTTTAAAATGCTGAAAGAAATCAGAGTGATGATACGATATCACTCCATACATATTGATGAGGTGAACGAATTACTGTTTGATATTCTTGGCAGTACAACTCCTTACAGAGTCCTCTTATTCTTTGCTTGTTCATCGTGCTTACTGACTCAGTTCGTCTGGTCAAACGTTTTAGAATAATATAAATTGACTGAACTGGACAATAAACTATAACAGATTTTAATTAGCCAATTGGTTATAACTAGATTTTTTTGTACCCAACGTAGAAATTCGTTCGTGACAAAAAAGCTCAATAATTATTACTTTTTTGTATTCAATGAGAATTTTTCTTGAATTGCAAAAGGAAACGAAGTAAAGCAAAAAAATAAACTCAATAAGACAATCAATAAACCTTCACTCTGATTTGGAATTATTTTCATTCGTAATATGTTGACACTTAACCGCTGATATTCTGAAGCAGTTCATTGTACATTTTCTATTACCCTATGATGATATATCGGATAAGATTTGATTATTCTACATAAAACCCATTGATAAAATAATTATTAGACCACTGAGCCGGCATTTAACAGTTAATGTCTAACTTCAACCAATCCACAAAATTGCGCCACCGTCCACCATTGTCTTCAGTGAGCTGATATCTCACACCAGACTCGGTTGAACTTCACTGGTCACGGCTTGTCACTAGAACTCCAGGAAATGCATCTTCAAGTCAGTCACTAGTGAGCAGACGACATTAACACCGTTGGATGCCGGCTCAGTGGTCTAATGGTTAAGCGCTCGCGTGCGAGACTGATAGGTCCTGGGATCGAATCTCGAGGTGAGGATTTGGGATCATGGATGCGCACCGTTGGAGAGTCCCATACCAGGAAGAGACGGCCGTCCAGTGCTTCCAGGTTTTCCATGGTGGTCTAGCTTCAATTGACTCATGATTTCAACTACTGAAATTACTAAAATCTCCACAAAACCTCTTCTGGAAATAATTAGTCTCAACAAAAATACAAAAGTTTTATTATGGAAATAATGGTATTGGGAAATTCTTAACATAAATCACGCTGTATCAATCTGAAAGATTTGTAGTATATACAAGATAGACAGGCTTAACAACTAGGAGTGGTATATAAGATCTGTGATTGGTTTACAAAAAAAGGTATATAAATTCGGACAAAAAGAGACAATGTCAGCAAAAGTTCAACACGACCAGAATATGATTAGAATAAACCGAGTATAGACTTATGAATGAGGTGGTTTTTTAATGGGTATGCAATAAATGTAACACAATAAAAATGATAACAAAACTCAATTGTTGTTGTTTACTAGGTAATAATTACTTTAAAAAATACATCTATGAGTATTGGTATACAAGAGGTTAGTGTTTCTAGAGTTTTTTTAGCGAGTTAGTTTTCTACGGGATGGGGTCGCTAATCCTATGCCCAACCCTCCTTCTTCATCCGGGCTTGGGAACGACAGTAGCCCCCGGAGGGACTTCAGGATGAGCTGTATACAAGAGGTGCTTGTAAAAATTCATCACACAAACTGCAACTCTTCTATTCAAATAAGAGGCTGAACAATATCAAGTTATTACGCTACAGTTAACAAACCAGTTTACAATCGGAATACAGGGATAAGCATCCATGCTCGTGAAGAGCAGACTAGAGAAAATCAGGCTGGTTTTCGACCTGGACGTGGTTGTATAGATCAGATATCCACACTACGTCAGGTTCTAGAACACAGACATACGTTCAGACGCCCCACAATCATAATATTTCTCGACCTAAAGGCGGCATTTGAATCTGTTGATCGTGAAGTTCTATGGCAGTGTTTGTCACTGAAGGGAGTACCAAAGAAGTACACTAACCTTATACAGGCTCTCTACTCGAACACAACTGGTAGAGTGAGAGCTTATGGCGAACTGTCATCAGAATTGATTACCTCAAGTGGTGATCGTCAGGGCTGTCCACTCTTCCCATTCTTGTTCAACTTTGTCATTGACGTACTTTTAGAGATAACACTCTCCTCATCTAAATTTACAGGGGTTGAACTTCGACCGGGAGGTTCACTTGTTCACTTAGAATATGCTGATGACATAGTTTTATTTGGCAAAGACGCTGACAAAATGTAGAGTCTTCTGACCACTCTAAGCAACAATGCAGGCATGTTCGGGATGCGATTCTCTCCCTCGAAATGCAAAATCTTGCTTCAGGATTGGGTTACATCGACACCCGAACTAGTGATAGGGAGTGAAGTAGTTGAGTGTGTCGACCGCTTCACTTATCTTGGGAGTCTCATCAGCCCTTGTGGTCTGGTGTGTGACGAAATCTCAGCACGGATACAGAAGGCTCGACTAGCTTTTGCCAACTTGCGTCATTTATGGCGTAGGCGAGATATCCGTCTATCAACCAAAGGACGGGTTTACTGCGCAGCAGTTCGTTCCGTCCTACTTTATGGCAGTGAAACATGGCCGGTAAGAGTAGAGGATATTCGTAGGTTACTAGTATTTGATCATAGGTGTCTTCGAAATATTGCTCGTATATCCTGGGACCATCGAGTAAGTAGTGCAGTTAGGAAACGGGTACTAGGTAAGGATGGCAAATCAATTGATGAAGTAGTGAAACTTCATCAGTTGAGGTGGCTGGGACACGTGTTACATATGCCCAACGACCGACTGCCTCGACGTGCTATGTTCAGTGGTATAGGAGTAGGTTGGAAGAAAGCTAGGGGCGGCCAAACCAAAACATGGCACAAGTCCATGAAGTCACTGACAAGTGGACTGAGTCATGTTGGTAGGTGTAGACTACCTGGTTGGGGACCGCGAGATGATAGCAACCGATGGTTAGAGACCCTGAATGACATGGCTCAAAATCGTTTGCAATGGCGCAGGTGCATCTACTCTTTGTGTTCTCCCAAATTTTGATCTCCTTATTCCTCCTTGTCTTTTTTTTCTTTCCAAATTTATTTCACTGTATTATACTCTTTAAGTAACATCTCCAAACACTAATCTTCCCGACTACTGCTTATACTCTTATCACCTCTACTACTACGGGATTTTAATCGACCACTACATCTCTATGCTAATGTGGTGTGGCAACTCGAACTGATGTACGTACGTACGAAGTTCTTCGTTGTTACTGACTGACTGACTGATCCATGCTATCCTTCATCAGAGTTTGGATATATATGTATGCTTTACCGATGCTCGATATTAGTTACATTTGTTTGTTTTAAGGCTGCATTCAACTCCGTTTATCGACAGATTTTACAGTAATGTCTATCATTGAAAGACGTACCAATGAAGTGCAGAAGCCAAGTGCACAAATAGAATAAAATGAAGAGAGTAAGCAACCTTGATGAACAACATGGAGTAGCTATTTCAGATAACAGCTTATCATTGGCTCAGGCACAACCACTAGTGGTCGGTTAAAGAGTCATCAGAAGGTTTATGTACTTTAATGTCTTTTAATAACAGTTGTTGACACAAACTGTGTCCATAAACGGAGTCGAATGCAACCTTAAAGTCAACAAATAGAGTTACAGTTGAACACTGTTAAGAATACCCATGTATCAAACCCTAATGAAGAACATGATAGATGCCTGATAAAATTTACGTCACTTTAGCGACTATCATCGCAGTTATCCTTGACGATATAAAGGAGTTAAGTCTACTCTTCCTGAATGCATTATTAAGGAAAACATAATCAATCAATGAAAATATCCTCTTACAAAAAATCAACTTGCTGCAATGGACATGTTACGAATTATCCCTGCATTCCAATTGAAAACTGTCAGACTACCTCAGGATGAATATTTTCTACATGATAGACTAAGTGCTCAGTTAGTTCTACTTTAAGTACACCTTTGACCTTTTCATTACAGGCCTGAGTTCAAAGAGATACTATTCTTGGATTTGTCCTGTGTCCAACATGGTAGAGAAAAACGAGTTCATACCGTAGCGTGACCCGACCGTTGTTGCTACCTTGACGTGGTGGTCGGGCTTGCCTATCGTGATGAAGCAACCGAGCTATACTGGCTGGAACAACCGTTCCTCAAGGTCCTACCATGTCAGACAGGTCGGTTGAAGAGCGGTAAGACTAAAAGCAACAAACCCAAGGTCCGAAGGCGAAGTCGTACTGCTGACTGTACAGAGGTGTGACAGCAGTAAGGTGTTTCCTTCAGACAACCAGCATGACAGCGATGCTGCCTTCCCACAAGGAGGGGTGGGGTTAGAAAAGGTCGACCCTAAAAATGCACACCTCGCCTTATCCCACGGATATCCGTCTCCGGCGGTAAGGTCTCAATAAGTACGGAGCTAACACAAAAATTACCCATAAAAAGGTCGTGTGTGACCGACCTCAAGCAGTTGTCCCTTGGGCACTGCGGTCACGCTCTCAGGTCACTAAGACCACCTCTAATCCAATTTCCTTTTCAGGTACCTCCAGAAACCCTTCCACGGTGTGGGCAACCGGGAAGTGATAACCGCCCTCATACTTCTAACAGCACTCAAGACCACTGTATTCATAATCAACCTCCTCTTCAATTCCTATTATTCCTCCTACATCGACTTTCAACTCTAAACTTCCTCTTCGGCTTCCTCCTCAAGTGTCACCATAGCCAACGATTCTAGTGCTCAAAACACTGTCCCAGGTCTACTGAAACCTCGCTCCAAACTACACATTGGAGCCTTCAACGTACGCACCCTATGTCAAATCGGTCAGCAGGCTTCCTTGGCTAAAACCCTAGAGTCTCTTTCCATTGATGTATGCTGTGTCTCCGAAACACGCATACAGGATTCCAGTGTGGTCATTCACTTGACCTCACCTCGGCAAACGGAGAGCCAACGAGATACACCCTTCGTGTATCTGGCCAGTTCTCGTGGACTGGCAGGTGTAGGCATAGCACTAAGCATGAGGGCCGAACAAGCACTGCTAGAGTGGATCCCCGTCAACAGTCGTCTATGTGCTGTTCGGCTGAACGGCTACGTAAGAACTCGGAAGGATAGGGACACACGTCGTTGCCTTTTTGTCGTTTCTGCCTACGCTCCCACTGACTGCAGCTCAGATGAAGTGAAAGATGAATTTTACAGAAAGCTGTCCGAACTTCTTCAGAAAGCTAAACGCTCAGACATAGTACTCGTAGCGGGTGATTTTAATGCTCAGATAGGCAGTTTAAACCAAACAGAAAGGCATTTAGGTGGATATTTTAGTATTCCGACACAGCGAACAGATAATGGTGATCGTCTGCTGCAGCTATGCTCAGACAATCGTTTATTTTTAGCAAACACAAATTTTAAGCATAAGGAGAGACATCGTCTAACATGGCGACCCCCTACACCAAACCAACGATGGACTCAAATAGACCATATTGCCATCAGTCATCGTTGGAGAGGGTCGGTAGAAGATTGTCGCTCATTCTGGAGTACCTGCTTGGACTCCGACCATGCCCTAATACGGGCACGCATCTGCTTGCGCCTCACTGGACGCAAAAAAGCCACATTAAAAAGACCCATTAGAACTGAGTTGAGTAACGAGAAAACCAAAAGTAGGTTCCAGGAACAACTGAGGTCACACTTAGGTAGTTGTGAAGACGAGGCTGACCCAGATGTTGCTTGGAAAGACATACAAGCAGCTGTGGAAACAGCAGTGACATCTATTAGTGACTTAAACCACAGAGTTACAAAGAACCAGTGGATTTCTTCAAGGTCTGTCACACTGATGGATTCTCGCAAACTCGTCCCATCAGGTTCCGAACATGATGAAGAGCGACAACAAATCAGATCTAGGTTAAGAAAAAGTCTAAGGAACGACCGTGAGCAGTGGTGGGCAACGAAAGCAAAAGAGATGGAAAAGGCGGCGACTATAGGGAACACAAGACAGCTTTACAGACTAATAAAAGAAACTGGAATTAATAAGTCAAGTGTAAGTGAGATTATTTCGGAAAAAGACGATACTCTCATCTGCTCCCAGTCCAGACGTTTAGAACGATGGGCGGAACATTTTAGAGAACAGTTCAGCTGGCCTTCAGCTACTCTACAACTACCCTCCATTCCCAGACAAGTGAATGGAACATTGAAGTAGGTCCCCCAACTCTTGCTGAAGTTGAGAAGGCTATAGTTAATCTGAAACGAGGAAGGGCAGCTGGTCCAGATGGATTGGCTCCAGAGGTCTTTAAGGATGGTGGTCCAATTTTAGCGATTAGGTTGACTAATATTTTAGCTAAGATCCGGGAGTTAGACGTTATCCCATCTGACTGAACTGCAAACACGAGAGAACCAAGCTGGCTTCAGACCTGGTCGTGGCTGCATCGACCATATATTCACCATTCGTCAGGTTCTAGAACACAGGCGTACTTATCGGACTCCAACAATGGTGGTATTTCTTGACTTAAAAGCAGCATTTGACTCGGTAGACCGCGAGATTCTGTGGCAGTGTCTGTCATTGAAAGGCGTACCTCAGAAGTACATAAACCTTGTGAAGGCGCTTTACTCGAACACTACCAGTCGAGTCAGAGCTTATGGCGAACTGTCATCTGCTTCTGCAACCTCAAGTGGTGTCCGTCAAGGCTGTCCACTTTCCCCATTTTTGTTTAACTTCATCATAGATCTACTGATGGAAATAACTTTCTCGTCGACTGAGTTCTCGGGTATTGATCTCCTACCAGGAGGTCCACTTATCGACTTAGAATACGCAGATGACATAGTCCTGTTTGGTGAAGACGCTCATAAGATGAAGAGTCTTTTGTTAGCACTGAGCAATAATGCCAGAATGTTTGGAATGCGCTTCTCTCCCTCGAAATGCAAGTTGTTGCTTCAGGACTGGTCTGCGTCAACACCTGAAATAAGGATAGGGAGTGAAGTAGTCGAACGCGTTGACAACTTCACTTATCTTGGAAGTCTGATCAGCCCTAATGGGTTGGTGTCTGACGAAATCTCAGCACGGATTCGAAAAGCTCGCTTGGCTTTCGTCAACTTACGTCACCTATGGCGAAAGTGATATCCGTCTATCAATTAAGGGACGAGTATACTGCGCGGCAGTCCACTCTGTTTTAATTTACGGCAGCGAAACATGGCCATTAAGAGTAGAAGACACTCGTAAGCTACTAGTATTTGACCACAGATGCCTCAGAAATATTGCTGGCGTCTGCTGGGATCACCGGATAAGTAATAGTGAGGTTAGACTCAGGGTATTAGGAAATGATGGTAAATCAGTTGATGAGGTTGTGAATCTTCATCGACTGAGATGGTTGGGCCACGTGTTACGTATGCCTGAACACCGATTACCACGACGTGCAATGCTAACCGGTGTTGGAGATGGTTGGAAGAAAGTTAGGGGCGGCCAAACGAAAACGTGGCATCAATGCTTGAAGTCACTAACTTCTAGTCTGAGCCATGTTGGTAGATGCAGACTACTTGGTTGGGGTCCGCGTGACTATCGTAACCAACGGTTGGAGACTGTAGGTGACATGGCTCAGAATCGATCACAATGGCGCAGGTGTATACACTCTCTATCTTCCCTTAAACTAAGAGATTAAAATCGCTTCATATCTTTCTTTCTACGAACTAATTCTTTCTTCCTGTACTATATCCTTATTGCAATCTTTCTTTTATATATTACCACCATTGACTTAACTACTTTTATGAATCCGGTGTCCATCTTGTTGTGTTAAGGAGGTATGGAAACTTGGACCGATGCATATATGTGCCTGGTCCTACGTTGTAGCTGACTGACTGACTGACCGTAGCGTGATCGGCGTCAACACATGTTTCAGAAATGGTGGGATTCTTCAGTCCAGTCTTTTAGACGATCGCTTTTAGAAACGAGGTTTATCTATCCCTATTGCTCTGATTTCGTCAGTCACCAAATTATACGGGATCTTTCAATTTTCCTGCGATTACTACTTGCTAAGCAAATACAATTGTACTAAACTTTCCCTGTTATCTGGCCAGGAATGTTGATAGTTTCATATAAATGTTTTTCAGTTTGACTTAGCCTACCTACACAGGAGTTAAAATTATTCGCTACACTTGGAACTGTAGCTTTCAAGATGTCAGAAAGTTTCCGATAGAAATTGTATTTCATTTTATCTAAGCTGCGATCAATGGAATGTATACTATCTTTCGGAGTTCTTGCTGTACCATTTAATCCGATAACAAACAAGCGACTGTTAGCAGGAACTCACTTATGTGAGATTCTAAGCTTGTTGTCGAATCTGACAAACGGTCCAGACATTTAGATCTTCCCAACACAAAGTTTGAATGGCGGTCCCAAGATATGAGGGATAGGATTCTACAAGATCAGATTGATGTTACTGGTTGCGTATGAAAAAGAAATCAGACCAGGGGACGGTTGATATTAAAAATAGAGGAAATATAAAGAATAAAGATTTTATTCAAGGAAATATTGGTCCGGTTGATGTTGGCATGTGAGTAATTGACAAGTCCCGGCTGCCTACACCTGAAATTCCTCATTGAGGGACCTGACTATTGTTGACAATATGTTAGCACACAACATTATGCAAATCCGCAAGTCTAGGTAAAGCCTAGATCCCTTTACAGACCAACCATATGTAGTCGAGAGCTTGAAAGTATCAGACACTTCAATAGGTTAGTCACCGGAGAAAATTTTGCAAAAAGTGCAGATATTCCCTGTAGCAGAAAATTTAGTACGCAACGAAAATGTTGAGTCGCTAAACTGAAATTACGAATAAAGCTTTATCATGAACTTTGATGAAGGTTCATACTGGTGGTAGCAGACAAAGACAACCGTTTAGTATTCTTTATTTGGTGATCGTTTAAACAAAAATAATTTAGTAGGTAAACGTCAACCGGAACAACTATATCTACTTTCGTTTAACTTATAAAAGGAAATTTTTCAACGGCAGACTAAGTTTTTTATTCAACTGAGAAATGATAAGGATAGAGGTCGAGAAACTACCAATTAATTATAGTGCACCAATATAACACTGACGAACATGCCTGAGATCTCGTCGTCCAACCATCCACAGATCCAAAGTATTAATAAGAAAGTGTTAGGATTCTATTTAGGATTTGTAGGACTTCTTTAAAAAGAAAAATTCAGTCAGCAAGGTATTTTGACAATTGAATGAGGAATGGTCTCAATAACGCGATTAATAAAATTGATCAAAAATTATACAGGAGTACAAAAATGTCACCTGAATAGGTGACAACTTACAACTAATTGCCCTCCAGGAGTATCAACTAAACAACTGGCAGGTCGACAAGCATTACTGCCTGAAGTTTGTGACTGACCACCAACAGGTTCTCGATGTGTCAAACCTTGACGACCTGAACCACGCCCTCGACCACGTCCACGTCCCGTATTTCCATCAACTTCATTGGATGGATGCCCATTACCACGACCTCGGTGATTGGAGTGGTTATACTAACAAATTTGTTGGTGTAGAGAGAAACGGTTAACCGGGGCAGCTTAATATGAAAACGTTTCACCATAATTTCAATTACCAACAGAAAAAGCGTCGTTATTTACAGATAAAAAATAGTAGTGAACAAATGGAAAAGACTTCTGTGGTATGAGGAGAAAAACAGGGATACGAATATATATGACGTTTTCCCTATCATACTTGACCACGTAATATGCTTGGTTGCGTTTGATTCTATAATACAGGTGTCCGAGTGAAGGCAGTGTGTCAGTGGAACTTAATGAGTACGACTTACTTTTCTTATACATTCATCCTATTCGAACACTTTCCGTAATACCACCGAGCCACATAATCTTCGCAAACTTTCAGCAAATAGTAGGAAATACAACAAATCAGTAAAGGAGTAACAGCCGTAATCCTCACAAAGATTACAATATTCATCGATTATTAGTCAAATAAAAAAGGTCACATCAAGGTTGAGCTGAGTCAGTGATAAGTGTCGAAAGTAAAATACGATCGCATGTTTCTCTAATTACGGAAATAACCAACACTGAGTAAACCACCAAGGATATTCAGCCATGTATATTGATAAAACAAAGAACCATAATATCTATTCATCTTGTCAAACCTCTTGAAAGCAGTCAAACTAATTATAAGGAAAACAATGAATCTGAAGGGAAAATAAGTGGATATGCGAAGTCATTGAACATTCAAGGGAGTTAAATGAAGAAAGACAGGGTTCGTCTTTCTGTGTTGATGTGAGTTGTGTAAATCCACCTGGAACCCCTTTATAGCTACTTCAAATCCCAAGCACAGGTAAAGGATGGCTGAAAATAGGGTTACCAACGACAACTCGTAAAAAGGAACCCTACCATGAAATTGCTGACCAGAAAAAAAAAACAATTGAACGCTGCTCTGATAGTTGATGGGTCTCTCTACATCGAAGAATCATGAAGTCTAGTGGTGAAAGTCGATAGTCTTCAAAAACCACGAGGCTGACACCCTCTCTCCCAGCCAGGATGAAAATCAACATAAAGAAGTGGGATGTATGAACGTGATAGACCGGAAGGGCCATTCAAATAGCAGAGGAAATGCAAAAATACAAGCTAGTTCTGTTTGGAATAAGTGAAAGAAAAATCAAGCTACGGGAGAGACGTTGAAGAAAATAATGTCACTGCATATACAAGGAACTGTAATGATGCTCTGCAAAAAAACACAAAAAGCCCCGATAGGATGGAAAGCTCGTGAATACAGGATCATCAAAGCATTCTTCAAAACAAAGAAGTATAGGGTTGAAGTGAATTTCATCTACTGCTACGCACTAACAATGAGGATAATAAAGACCAGTTAAATGAGAGGTTTCAGTCCATCCTAGAGAAATATCCAGAAAAAGAACCGACCATCCCGACGAGACGCTCAAACACCGAGGTCGGGATAAGTAACACCAGGTAGGGCCACCAGACAAATTAGAAATGGTATGGTGGCAGGACCAGACAACTTACAGGAGAAGCATTAAGCTCAGATATAAAGGTAATTTCCAAGTTATTCCATACTCTCTTCAAAAAGATATGGGAAGGGTAACAAGTACCAACGGACTAGAAAGAAGTATAGCTCATCAAGATCTTAAACAAAGGTTTTAGAAGGAGTGGGAACCACACGAATGTCAGTACCAGGAAAATTTCTTAACAGTGTAGCTGAACCAAATCGAAGGATCAGTAGACGACTAACTTAGAGATCAACAAACTAGCTTTTGTAAGGATCTAACGAGTACCGACCAAATTGTAATACTGTGGATGATTGTTAAGCAACCAACTGAATAGGATGAATTGCAGTACATCGACTACCTTTGTCACGAGAAACCGCTCGACAATATGAATAGAGAAACGTTGTGGGATTATCTTCGACACTATGGAATACCTTGAAAGATCATCACAATTATACAGAACTTCTGAAAGGGAGCGGATTATAAAATTGTGCATCGAGAGCAGCTCGCAGATGCATTCTAAATTATGATTACTATCAAACAAGGCTGCTTAGTCTCATTTTTCTCCTGTTTTTGCTAGCTGTTGAGTGGATTACTGTTAAGGATACCATTTATCCAGATATTGTATGATGAAAAAAAAACTCCTTATTTTACATATCGATTTGAGGTTGTTTCAGTTAAACCTATTCAGTGCATTTCAGTTGTAGTTAGTTATTTGATTCTAAATTTATTGTCCTTGTACTGATTATATGCTCAATGACAGTTATTCGGTTGATGATGCTCTGCAGTTAATAATAATTAAATTAACTTAGATATACGTCTTAATCTTTGGTTTTTTCCAATCAATCTTCTTACCAAGATTTGTCTTTTTGAGTGGTTGGAGGACTAGAAACGAGTTGAACTATTGTATATGGTATCGCAGTTGTCTTCAAGTATGTGTATCCATAGCAATTATAGAGACGTCCTCATCTCAGGCACGGTATACAGTGGTGAATTTGGACGTAGCTGGATGACTCGGACTTTGCAGATGTTCATTTTGAGGTACACAATCAAGATACCAACAACCTTATCTCTGTAATACATTTTCACTGCGTTATATTTGATCACAAATGGATTTTAGATCACGACGGTCCAGGACTCAGTGAATAACTCAAAATTAGGAGAACAATTTTACAAGTCAGCTTAACTAGTTGACCAAACCAAGGGAACATTGAAGTTATTTAACGTAGAGAACGAGTAAAACTTACATAGAAGACATCAGATTGCTCACTACCACTGTAAGAACGTTGACGCCAACCAGCACATCCTCGGGACCAATCACCATGCCCTCCTCTTTTTGTTTCATTAGTGGGACGCAAGGGACCATTTGCTTGGGAAACGGGAATTGAAAAATCGACGTCCCCAGTTGGTCCACTTGGATATCTCTGATGAGGATGGTGTGAAGAACTACCCGATTGTGCATGCCCGGCGTAACGGTTCATACGATGCCAGCCATGGGTATTAGGATCAACTTCTTGAGTAGTTAGATCCTCGCCACTACTACCATGAGTTCTATAACACAAAAGTAGTATGAGAATTAACATAGAAATATGATTCAGCTGACTACTAATTATTAGCAAACCATCATCTCAACAACTGAATGTATTTAATAAAGTACTTTTTGAGGAAAAGGAATGACTGATTAAGTAACTAGCAGGAGAATGAATTGAAACAGGTATTTCGAAGTTAGTACGAGGAACACTGTTAAGGGAAACAAAGAAACATTAGATGAACCAATTAATACGAATAGGTGGGAATAATAATACAACAGAAAATGGCCCGCAATTTTTAGATAAATTATTTATTTATTATTTATTTGAACACATAAATATTGGTACAAAGAGGCACCAAATAGGCATGCGCCACATAAATCATTCGATTTATATGATAGCTGGGATACTGCCCAAGTGCGCAGACCGAAGTAGGTGGTTTTCCTAAGGGGCCACATCCGAAGCCTTCGACCTAAAGGTCTGGTCCACAAAGCAGTGGAGCAACGTAAGATGTAATCACATGGTGGTCGGTGGCCAATAATTGGTTCATACGGCATTTGTTTCCTTACGATTCTGAATTCCCTATGCATCATTGGTTTGGAATGAGGGTTGTTCAACTCTCCTATGTGGATCCTCTGTATCCACTAACCCGGTTAAAGCGCTGGACATTCGACTTTCGTCCTCTCAATTCCGTAAAAAACAGTAATGCCGCAAGAAAGCAGTGTGTAGTTCTTCCCTGGTAGGTTGATAAATATCTCAATGATAGATTGGATTTTGGGGTTGGTTTAGTAAATCACTTTATTATACAAATAGGTTGTGGGTTTGGACGTCATTCTACTTACATCAGTTTAGGCACAACACCTGAAATTCAAATACATTAGCTTGCACATGGTTAGAGTCGGAATATTTTATTCTATTGAGGAATCTTATAAATCATTTCGCTTAAATTGGTATGTATGAATTGTCTAAAAAGAATACTGATTGGTGTACAATAAATCAGTGGTAATCCATGACTAGTAATAGTACAAAAAAGAGATAGGAATTCGTAAGTAAAATGGTTTGTGTATCGAACAGCGATGCTTGATATTAATCTGACTACACACTGAAAGTTGTCAGGCAGCATTTTGTATTTGGAGTTAGAAGAATTTACTTTAACACTTTTATATTGCTACATGTTTCAGATACGATGTATGAGGAAGAAAATCAGTCTTAAAATTGGCATATCGATTCAAAGTGATTTTTGTTCAGTTAACTTCTAATGCGTTTTCAGTTGTATTAATTCTTCCAATGTGTAGTTAGTTATATGATTTTGGTGGATTCTCATCATATTGACCAGCTCATTGTGATAATCGAGCAAAAATACGTAGAAGATCTAGCAGTGACAGTGTATAAAGCTTCAAGATAAGCAATCATGAAGACAAAATGGAAAGAGGAAAACCAAGGAACACAGCATCGGAAATTGGAAGCAGACATCAAAAGGATAAATCGCAATCGGAAACAACTGCAAATGACTGCTCAGGATATAGTTACATGGATGATTCTGATAGGCGGTTTATGCTCCTCCACGAGGGGTGACAAACGCAGGTAAGTAATATGATACAACCGAGAAACTAGCAAGGAAATATTGTAAAACAGAGCGACCAGTCAAAGACAATGAAGGCAAGACAATCACTGAGATTCAAGAACAGAGAAACAGATGGGTAGAACATTTTGAAGAAGTCTTGGGTAGACCAACCCCATTGAAACCACCGGACACCAAACCACCACATACACACCTTCCTATAGATGTCACTGCAACAACAACCAAACAAATCAGTATGGTCATCAGACAAATCAATAGTGGAGAAGTAGCGGGATCTCATAACATACTAGCTAAAACACTCAAGTCAGACATATAAATAACTGCGCAGATGTTCCGTGTTCGATTCAGGAAGATTTGGGAGGAGGAACAACTGCCGACAGACTGGAAAGAAGGACACCTCATCAATATAGTAAACAAAACAGATCTCAGTAAGTCCGAGAACTACAAAGACATTACACTACTACTATCAGTATCAGGAAAAGTTTCAAACAGAGTGTTCTTTAACCACATGAAAGATTCAGTAGACGTCCAACTTCCAGATTAATAGACTGGATTTCGTACGAATCAATCATGTACCGACTAAATCACAACAATACGGATCGCTGTTCAACAGTTATTTGAATGGAACTCGGCACTATTCATCAACTTCCTTCACTATGAGAAAGCACCTGACACTGCTGATAACAGAACCTTGTGGAACCATCTTCAATACTATGGAGTACCTAAGAAGATTATTAACACATGTTGACAAGCTTTAATTGACTCATAAATTCTTATGACGGACTACTCTGAAAAGTCGTGTATGGAGGACAGCTCACAGATGCATTCCAAGTGACGACCGGTGTCAGACAACGTTGCTTACTCTCACCGTCCCTCATTCTCCTGGTGGCGGTCTACTAGATCATGAAGACTTCCACATCTCATGGGAAGCACGGAATACAATACACGGATCATTCGAAACTAGACGATTCGGAATTGGCTGATCACCTAGCTCTCCTACCCCCTATACACCAACGAATCTAAGTGAAAATAGTCAGTGTAGCAGCAGCAGGTTCTGCAGCAGTAGGCTACAATATACATAGTGAAAGACCAATATCCTCAAGTACAACACAGGGACACACCAACTCAATCTCACTTCATGGAGAAGCTGTGGAACAGGTGGAAACTCTCACATATCTGAGCATCATCATCGATGAACAAGGAGGATATGATGCAGATATAAAGGCAAGGATTGACAAAGTAAGGGCAGCATTTCTACAGTTAGAGAACATATGCAACTCAAAATAACTATCAGTCAACACCAAAGTCAGAATCTTCAACACAAACGTCAAGACAGTTATATTGGAGAACTACCACAACCATCATGAAGGAAGTACAAATATTTATAAACAATTGTTTACGCAAGATACTCAATGTCCGTTGACTGGATACCATCAATAACAGTCTACTTGTAACACTTTACCCTTGAACTTCCACAGAGCCAGACGTGCTGGGTGAAGAGGGAGGTTGATTATGAATACAATGGTCTTGAGTGCTGTTGGAAGCATGAGGACGGTTATCACTTCCTAGTTTCCCACACCGTGGAAGGGTCCTTCTGGAGGTATCTGGAAAGGAAATTAGATTAGAGGTGGTCTTAGTGACCTGGGGGCGTGACCGCAGTGCCCAAGGGACAACTGCTTGAGGTCGGTCACACACGACCTTTTTAATTAGTGATTTTCGTGTTAGCTCCGTACTTGTTGAGACCTTACCGCCGGAGACGGATATCCGTGGGATAGGGTGAGATGTGCATTTTTAAGGTCGACATTTTCTAACCCCACCCTTCTTGTGGGAAGGCAGCATCGCTGTCATGCTGGTTGTCTGAAGGAAACACCTTACTGCTGTCACACTTCTGTACAGTCCGCATTACGACTTCGCCTTCGGACCTTGGGTTTGTTGCTTTTAGTTTTACCGCTCATCAACCGACCTGTCTGACATGGTAGGACCTTGAGGAACGGTTGTTCCAGCCAGTATAGCTCGATTGGTTCATCACGATAGGCAAGCCCGACCGCCACGTCAAGGTAGCAACGACGGTCGGGTGGGTGGAGAGCAGTATAAATGACACCAGTTTTCAGTTCAAAGAAGTTTTATTGCTGATTATACCATGTCTCAGTGGCAAAGTGGTCCCCACATACAACCACTATTTTTAATGCTGTTCCGTGACTTTGTGATAATAAGAACTTGAATAAGTAGGAATGGAGACACCTTAAGAGTGAAACACAGTTCATTATGCCTCCCATACGTTCTTCAATCCTACAGCTTGACCAAGGAAACCAGGAGTTTGGTCAATACAAATGTAATCTGACGGATGAATCAATTGGCCCACCATACATCACCTCTTTATCACAGAGAAAATTTGGCCCTAGAAAATATATTCTGTTGCTTTGTGAATATTTAGTCTCAAAAGTAAGGTTTAAAAAGTAGGAAACATTGCAAAACTCAGAACAACCATTAACATAAAGACTTTATACAATCAACTTCCAGAACTTGTAAATGTTGATAAAACCATCAACAATAATTTTATTTACTATCTGGATTCTCAAAGTGCATTTTTATTAACGTGGTGCTAACCTTATAACTCGGGCAACATTGAAGACAGAGTTAGCAGTAGACAGAACGAAGAAACCGTTTAGTTATTACTTCTGATATTAGTGCCCCAAATGCCCTGGTATGGCCGAGAGTGGGGAGAGTTCGCTCTCCCTCTCGAAATGCTCTCACATGGCCACGCGTATATAGCCTCTGTCAGGGTAGTCCTACTCACTGCCTTCTCGTGGCGGGGGTGTTGTTTACGAAAATGAGAGGACGAAAAGCGAATGTCTGGCGCTTTAACCGGATTCCAAACCAATGATGCATATGGGCTCCAGTACACTGAAGGAACAAATGGCGTATGAACCAATCGTTGGTCACCGGCTACCATGGGACTGCATCTCCTTACGATGCTATACTGCCTTGTGGATCAGACCTTCAGGTCGAAGGCTCGGGGAGTGGCCCCCTAAGAAAACCACCTGTTTTGGTTTGGGAACCCGGGCAGTATCACAGCCCTCACACATATCGAATGAGATTTGTGTGGCGCATATGTATTTGGTGCCTCCTTGTACCAATATCTGTGTCAAAATAAATAAATAAACCTGATGTTAGTACGAGCAGTGGTCTGATGATCAAGACATTCCACTCCCGGTCACTAAGTCCCAAGTTCCAATTCCACTCCATCAACTTCGGTTTGGGCGACTGAGTAGTGACATTAGCCCTCATACTTAGAGCGCGACTCATACCCAAGTACATGGTGAATGGGTTAATTTAGTTTACTTTAATTATATTAATCCAAAACTCGATAAAACAGTGTAATAATAGAAGCTTTATCAATATAATTTTCTCAAATTGCAATAAGGAGTTCCCAAATTGTATGGAAAACACCAACCTTCTAGTGTGATACAATGGTAACTCGAAGTCCTTAACTGTTTACACGATGTATGTTCACCATGGTTCAGTAGTTGGAAGTCTTCAACACTAACAGAAGAATTAATTTCACGTTATCCTAATGATAGTATTGACTATTCTAGTTCACATATATGGGCGAAGATATTATTCATCCGTATACTTTCTAAAATAAGAAAACTACATTCGTATTCCAATAAGCTGTGTACCCAGTGACAGCGGTAGTATGAAAAATGGTAACACTAAAAATACGAACTGGAAAACAGATATGAACATATAGATGAACATTCACATACTTTTGGGCGTCTCCATCGCTTGACTGTGAATAACTAGTCTTTTTTCTTTGGGTTTAGATCGAGATGCTTAATTTAAAACCAAATAATTATTTGTAAAGTTGACATACCACGGGTCCCAGTCTATGAAAGATGATACACAACATTAGGTAGATTTAGTTATTAGTATTCGTAACGCATGAAAAATGAGGAACAGGTTATTAATAAAAATAAGTGTTTTTTTATATTTATAATACAATATCATATTAGCATAGTACAGCAAAAGACGGAGCCACAGAAACCGGAATGATGTCATAAAAAGTAGTGAAGGGTCGTATAAACAAGTAATTAATTAACAATAACAGTACACCCTGAAAAAGGCACTTTTGATCTAGTTGAAATCCAATCAAGTAAACGAAGGTCAATCAACACATGTCATATGAAACCATTTTTTCGTGGTTATGTAACAAGCTAACTCCCGCTTTTGTAATAATCCGAATTAGTCAAAAAATGAGCTGCACAGAAGTCTGAAGGACAAAATCTACATAAAATGAAGGCTTTAGGGGAGATAACTGAAAATAAGCTTTTAGCGAATGACATGGATACTACTGTCACTTCGGAACATACAAGTAAGTAGATACCACGATCATGCCAAATCTCCCTATTTTGAGAATTTCGGCGTTTTCCCCTAACTTTGGGGAAAAACTCCAGCGTTATAAGATTCTGTGGAAATATTGGGAAAAACCCTATATTTCCCCAAAAATTTTGGGGATTTTCCCCAGATCTGGGTAAATTTAAGGGGTCTTAAACCATTTTCCCAAATCTTTTATTGCGGCTTCCAAAAATTGACCCAAAACGGACAAAATTTCCCCCAAAGTAGGGGGATTGGGTATCAAATGAATAGGGTGAATGATTAGGTGATGACTTTGTTTATAATGTCAATTAACAGATTACTGAAATCATTGTTCCAAATCCCAGCTAATATACTAACGCACTGGAAACGGTACGACAGGTAAAAATGAGACAAGAATAAGTTGATCGAACACTGATCAGTAACTTACTTGAGATTTTTTAATCACATCATCCTGTAGAGGAATGGACTTCCCGAAGTCATAAAGAGCTAAAATTTCAGCTCTGGAATAGCTCACTCGCCCTCCAGTTTCAGAACGCTCGACATTTGACTGCATATCAAGAGTAAAACTGACGTCTCAACCACCTTCAAACAGTGAGCCTAGCTTCAATGTCCAGTGTTTTTGTCAACAGCTATTCTGTTTCAGTTTGGAAAGAACAGGAGGCTAGGTCTTCTGTGTTAGTCCTAGCAGTATTGTTCTCTCATTTATTCAACTTTCTTTTGAAAGAGTAGACAAATGGAGCTTCTTTAGGAAATGAGTTCCACTCGTTGATGATTCGATGGGAAGGTCGATAGTCAGCTGACAAGTACTTCGCCATGAGTCTATGAACCTTTTTACAGTATCTTAGCAACTGATAGGTTTTGGAAGACAAGAAAAACGAGAGCGTATTATATGCAAATTTACCAGTGATTAGTTTGGAAACTTTAATCAAGTCACCTCTGGTTCTTCGATATGACAATGGCAATAGGTTTAGTCTGGCCAATCAAGCATCATACGGGAGCTTCGCTATTACAGGAATCAGTTTATTTGCTGTTCTATGTACCTTTGCCAGAAACCCTTTGTCTTAAGCATGGTGCTAGGGACTTGAATGCCGTAACCAATTTTAGGACTCAGGAATACTTATACATAGTGTCTGGACAACGGGTATCTCATTGTTATCAATCGTGCATGTATCTATACCTTGATGACCAGTATGCGCAGCAATACACCTGGAAGCAACTGCCAAGTGTAAGACCATTCAGATGATTTCTACAGGTAATTTTGAAACACACAACTACATTCTTTATTCCATATTGCTCTACATATCTTGGCATCGTCAGCATATAGTAAGACCGGTGAGGTTAGGAAACGGAAAAGGTTATTTGCACGCAAGTTGAATAAGACCGGCCCCGAAACTGAACCCTGTATCACTCCACTAAGCACAGTTTTCCAGCTAGACAACTCAGAGTTCACCCGTACTCTTTGTTGGCACCCAACTAGGTAGTATTTTATCCACATTAATAAACTGCCTCCAACCCCAACAATTCTTAATTTATATAACAGTTGGTTGTGAGGAACTCTTTCAAAGGCTTTGTTGAACTCAATGTAGGCACTTGACATAAATCTTGAAAAAGCGTGTCTTGAAATTTGATAACCCTATCCGAACTTAACTGAACTGATGCATGCCAACGAGAGACCCATATGTCAGATGCCGCTTCAACTACAGTTTGAGCGTCCAAACTTTCTAGAGTTATCATACCTCATCACTTCGTAGTGTGATCAACCATAACTAAAATATATTCATTCTCTAGGTTGGTTTCCCTAATGACCCACTAATATCAATTTACACTATCTCATTCGACTGACTTGCTTTCACATTTACTAAGAATGCACGCGAATCCTCTCTGTAATTTGACATATCGTAAAAGATCTAACACAGTTTCATATGTCTCTCCATCGTTCTGGCTATCAGCGTCTACTTTTGACGGCCCCCATAATTTTATTTTGGCCTCCATGACCCGAAACCATATGTAATTTTTCTAAGACATCACAGAACATAGACTATGGAACTACCGGTTATCCCAAACAGTATGATCTGTAACGAAAACATAATACTCCATCCATTATTAATACGAATTTCCACATGAATCATACACAGATAACCTCCAAACTCATGACTTTAATTTCTTCTGAAGATAGCCATGAACGCTAGTTTCCAGCAGGTAATAAACTATTAAAGTTTCCGGATCTATTATCTAAATATATGCCCGTTAAATATCTCCCGTGATTTTCAACACTATTATATTTCTTGTTGGTGGGACGCACTCAAAACAGTTTCCATGTGGTTAATTTGCTCTGCGTGATAAGTCGCCCAATTGTGATGCCGTCTATTGAGCTGATGGATGCATTCGTAGTCATATCCTTGTAGGCACTCTCATCATAGAGCGATCGCCCGTCCAGATCTCTAAAATTCTGTAATCATATAGAAACTTTATGATCAGTTCTAATAACAAACTAACGTACTAGTAAATAATACCGGGAGTGAACGACTGCTAACATCTTTTATCGTCTGGTACAATCATTTTTCTTCAACTTATTTAACATTCGGCTTCCAGACACAACAACTCATTTTCCGTCTGAAGAAACTTTTAGCAATACAGCACCGATTGTAAGATCCATTTTGAGTGTTTTTTGTATGGAAATCCCTCCATGTATACACTTGCAGTTTGTTCTTATTGATTCCTTCAGTTGTACATTTTGCTTCCATTTGAGTTGTTAATATTTGTTTTATTATAGTTTTTATTTTTTTTCTTACGCCTTCACTAAATTTGCGTGTTTCTTCCTGAACTGCATTCATGTTGTTTTAGTTGATACTTAGCCCTGACAGAAGCCATACTGATTTTGTTTCTTCTTTGATTATGTTGCTTACATTGACTGGAATTGTGCACTTTTGATTGGGAATTGAAGCACTTTTCCAGAATTGGAAACCCTGTGTTATAAGGCAACCAAATATTATCTTTCGAACGAATCTGTGCGTGGTCCATCCAGACAAGACAGAATAGCATTTATTTGTTGTGGTTGGAAATTTTCTCTTATCCTTTATCAAATTTCTTATTTATTGTGATTTAGACTTGATTAATTGGTTGAGTAGCTGGGTATATATGTTTGGGTAACAATGTTTAGGTAACAATGATGAATTTTAAAACCGTCATTTTACCCAATTACTTTGTTTTGGCTTCAACCGGGCAACGGCGCGTATCTAACTCACCTAGACACCTATGTTTCAGTCCAAACCTCAGTTTGTATCTTACACCGATAGCCTAGTCACTTACATCGGTGTATAAAATGAAACTGCAAGCAGTGAGAAAAAAATCCGTATGTTCTGAAACCAGCGTCGAACACAACAATTCCTTTAACAGGTCAAAAGGTTGATGGCATTTTTCACTTCGTTCCTTTTCTATCTAGGCACGGAGGGAGCTTCAGTCTTCGAAAATATTTATACAAACCTTTTTAAATGAGTTGCTAAATCTTTGAGTATTCGGAGTTCAGTTGTATTTTGTGGAACAACCCCGTTTCGAATGACATCGGTGTGTGTACCTCGGTCGTCAGTGACATGTTCTAGGAATTTAACTTCCTTCCTCAACAGAAAACATTCCTATGGCCGTACTTTCAAACCAACTTCCTGAAAGGGTTCTAAAACAGTTTGCAAATATCTAAGTAAATTTCAACAGTTTCTCCATGTGCAATGACAATCCATATACGCCAAATAAGCATGTCGTACCATTACAGACAGTGTTATACGTACCAACTGTTGGAAAGTAGAAAGGTCGTTAGTCAGATCAATATCATGATCTAGTCACGTATATTTCGAACCAGGGAAGGTAATATATACAACTCAGTAGTAGTTATTATCATCGGGAGCAGATGTATAACAATCACAATCATAAAAGAAGCTAATTATCTTCCTTATTAATCTATTTTTAGCATAAAAGTAGGGCAAAATGGTCAAAGACACCTGAAATCGCAAAACGAAGACAACATGTAAACCTATCATGGCTTCGTTGTTTGTCGCGCAGATAAGACCACTTTAGTGAACACAAATGCTTTATTCAGGTTACTCCGTCTAAAACTAAATCATTAGTTTACTACTAGGGTATTGATGGATGTCAATCAACTCTGCACGGTGATGTTATTGTGGAAAACTGTTCTGGCAGCACCTGTTTAACAAATTTCTGAGGACGTCAAGATGTCACATACCCCCACAAGAAAATCTCTTTTGCACAAAATCATGGAATCAAAAATTGGCTTTTCAAATCTATTTGAAATTAAGTAAGACATTTGACAATCCACAACATCGAAATAAGAAAGTGAAGCAAAATGTGTTGCGATGCCATGATGTCGCTGTTTTGCTAATGTTGCATTCATGAACCTAAAAGACTGCCCCAACTTTCCTTTCACTTCATAATAAAATCAACAGGTTTAAACAAGCTTAAAACTCGTAAAATCGATCTGTTAAAGGTCATACGATTTACCAGTAGACGGATCCTAAACACACAAAGCTTCCATGACTTCTTAGCTTAACGTTCACTTACTCCTCCAACTTGAGTAGTGTTCTGTTCACCAGTCACCTGATGAAACATGAAGATGATGTGAGAATACTACTAAATATATCATATTATGACGCTATATAACCTGGAACATGCCAAACGAATCTCTTGAGACGTTCATTGTGTATGGTATTTTAGACAACAGAGATCCTAACAATTTAGTCTACGATATTTAAGGGTGGAAATACATGACACGAATTTTGATGCTTAGGTATGTCTTGACCAAACAAGTGGTCGAGTCGTCCATGAAAGACAGAGATACTTGACAACGGCTTATGAAGATAACTTACTCGTCTTCGAAAATGGAGGCTGCTTTTCGAGTTGAAAGCATCAGAAGCTTATAAATAAAGGCAGCAACTTTGCTGGACAAAAAAGACGAGATGCTTTAAATAATTAATACAAATAATACACATACGATAGAAATATCCACAACATAAGCATCTCATATCATGGATAAGGAGCCTGGGAATATCACAGAATGTCCTACTTCGCAGCTGCAGAAACGTTTGGAAGGGCAGCGCAGCTAGAATGCACAAACTTTCCTGCTTGATGCTACTCAATAGTTTATCAATCTTGGACAGAAGTTTGCAACTAGGATGACTTGACTTGAATCTAAAGTCAGGAGGATAACGACGGACTTACTTTCGATACCTCAAAGTGTAAATTAGTTCTTCTGAGACATGGTATAAACTACGTATACAACTTGAGCGATTCCCTCCTAGAGGAGTTGTGGGTTCAGAAAGATTGAGTTTCATTCATATCTTATAGTTCAAAGTCTTATTCTGTGAAAAATGCCTATAGAAGAAACGTTGCACTAGTAACTTGACAGCTCATTTTTGGCCAGTCTGACGATAGAACCCTCCGCTTAATTTATAGTAGCTTTATTCTACATCATCTAGACTATAGAAGCATAGCGTTTCCTCCTTCTTTCCGAAAGGATGGAAACACTCTAAAATGTATCCGAAAGCG